CAGAGCTGTGTATATTGGAGTTCACGTCCCATTTGGAAAGCAGGGCCGTCGGCGGCACAGACATCGTGGGCACAGGCATCACAAAAGAAAAAAAGAAAAAGAAACTGATAGAGAGGATGGCAGAGAATCTCCATCGTATGGTAAAAAATCTGTTGTGTCAGTTCTTTATGTCTTCTGAAAATGATGCTGTAGTAGCTACTCTGTGCTTAAATGGTGTCTGTTTTTGCTGTTTCTTTTGTTCTCACTAAAGTTAATGTCCTTGTGTGTACAATCAGGCAAGGATTTTATGGTTGTGTTTTATCTAATTCATATGTTGGACTTGTTCCAGCTGTCTGCATAAATGTTCATCAGCCTGTACTGATTAGGTTAGACTAGAGCTTCATAATACTCGTCTGTAGCATAAAAATGTGTTTAAATTAGACACCTTTATTCAGATTATGTAGTCTTGTATTATTCTTCCTCTGTCACTCAAGATTTTTGAAAGTATGAATATAGCTGCAAAGCAGCATTTGCCGTAGTAATTTGATCAGTGAGCTATTAAAATATTTATTTCAGTCTTCTTATTGGTCTGTCTGCTAAGTTTTAGTTTTCGACACCACCCCCCAGCCCACCCCTAATCCTCAAGATATGACAATTTTATCATATTCTCTGAAATCAGATTATTTGGCAGTACTCTTAGTAGTTTTTCTTCAGGACCTCAAATCGTCTTTGAATCCTAGAGTGAAGAATGGGAGAGTTATAGTACAATGTTCCATCAAATGTGGAGCTTCAAATGCAGACACCATGCTGTTCACTGTCACTTTTCTATGACTAGAGCCATGTTCTTCATAGGATAGTTAGGGTTGGAAAGGACTGTAAGATCATCTAGTTCCAATTCCCCTGCCATGGGCAGGGGCACCTCACACTAAACCATGCCACCGTTCAGATACTGGTAGGCTGCTATGAGGTCTCCACGCAGCCTTCTCTTCTCCAGGCTGAACAGCCCCAACTTTCTCAGCCCGTCTTTGTGTGGGAGGTGCTCCAGTCCCCTGATCATCCTCGTGGCCCTCCTCTGGACTTGTTCCAACAGTTCCATGTCCTTTTTATGTTAAGGACACCAGAACTGCACACAGTACTCCAGGTGAGGTCTCACGAGAGCAGAGTAGAGGGGCAGGATCACCTCCTTCAACCTGCTGGTCACGCTCCTTTTGATGCAGCCAAGGATAGCGTCGGCTTTCTGGACTGTGAGCGCACACTACCGGCTCATGTTAAGTTTCTCATCGGCCAACATCCCCAGGTCCTTCTCCGCAGGGCATGGGATCAGTTTGCCTGAAACTAAGGAGTTTTCAAATCTGAATGCTTTGACAAGTCTGCTTTCACCATTCGTCTACAGTTCTTATTTTTTTGTCCATCTTCAAAACTTCCCCTCCCAAATACAAATTGTTATCATTTGATCTTATGTTTATAGAAACAATCAGCTGTAGAACTTAATTGATAATGAATGTTGTTTGTATTGAAGGACTCATTTCAGAACTGAATCTCCTCCCTTTAGTTAGCGTCTACAGCACAGTGGTATCATTTATTCTGTTCTCAAAGTGAAAACAAGATTTCTAGCACTTCAGTATATTAAAGTTTTCACTTTTAACGAATTTTGCTGTTGATGTTTATTTTCATATTGTTAATCTATAGGAGGTGTAAAAGTACTTATGTTACATAAACACAATTTTCCAGATGTTTTCAGAAACAATGAAAAATTTTAAAAGGGCCTCCTTTTAAAGAGTTATCCACATTTCTTTTGTTCCTATTCCATCTTGAAGGCAATATCACACTACATATTTCTAACTGAGAGCAGGAGATTTAACTGTTAAATGGTGTTTCTTGCATAATAGAAGTATGACTTCATTTAATTGTTCAGTTTCTCCTTTTCTTCAAGACACGCCATCCCAACGAGTGCAGTTTATCTTGGGTACTGAAGATGATGATGAACACATTCCCCATGATCTCTTCACTGAAATGGATGAACTTTGCTTCAGGGATGGAGAAGAATATGAATGGAAAGAAACTGCTAGGTATGCTAGATGTAGATTGTTTCAAAGTATATCTATCTTTTCCTGGTTTTTATTTAAAGAGCTGCAAACCAGGTCTAGGTTTGAACTGTAAGAGCTGTCTCGATTTATGCTTAGCAAAACAAAACTATCATTCTTGTTCTCCAACTCTGGAAGGAGTATGGTTTCAGTATGGTTTCCCAAGAGGCCCTCAGTCTTATGGGTGCTGTGTTGACTTTCCTGAAACTGATCATGCCAGGCACTGTGAAAGGTACAATTGTGTTCAGGTATAAATACAGATATTCAGCCATGGAGCACAGTATCTGCAATCTCAGAAAGCTATTTGCTCTATTATTGCTGATATATTAGAATTGGGTATTTCTGTATGTTCTTGGGTAGTATTTGATTAATTTTTTGTATGAACATTACAGCCACAATTATTTTTTGCTTCTATTGGTCAAGTAGCTTCCTTCTACATACATGTTTTAGTAAGTTTTTCTGCATTCAGTACTTCTCATTACTGTATTGCATGGTGACTTTTGCAGAAGTTCAATTTATATAGTACCTGTGAGTCAGGATCAGTATCAATTTACAGTTACATGTATTAGTATTACCTAGCTCTTCGGTGCCTGACATAGCACCCTCGGAGGCTTAAGCATGGTATTGTGTTGTTTCAGACAGCTTTCCTAAAATACCAAAGAAATTGAGGTATGGAAATTAAGTAATAAAGGCACAAGCCCACACTGTTCACAGGAACTTGTGAATGAAAGGTATTGTTCAAACCAAAAGAAACAAAATGGGCAAAATCTGAAACAGTGCGGTTAAAAAGCCTGATAAGATACTGTGGCTGTCAGTCATTTGGGACGTCTTAAAATATGAAAGCTGGTAGGAGCTGATGGGAGTTTCTGTTCCTTGTCATATGGAGCCACAGGGAAGAGTGGGATTGATTGCCAAATTGTGGGTCTTCCAGGAGAAATACAAATATGTGTATGTGTTTCAGGTGGCTGAAATTTGAAGAGGATGTTGAAGATGGTGGTGATAGATGGAGCAAACCTTATGTAGCAACTCTGTCTCTGCACAGTCTCTTTGAACTGCGAAGCTGTATTCTTAATGGGACGGTCATGTTGGACATGAGAGCAAGCACATTAGATGAGATAGCAGGTTGAAGCAACACTTTTTACAACTTTATTCCTAAATTTTAATCTATAACTTGATACGTTTTTACAGTGTCTTTATATGTTCTTGAAAATCCTGTATTGAAGAAACAGGTATGTGCATGCTTACTGCAGTTTTCTTCATCTGGTCCTACAAATTTTACTCACAAGGAACTACACTGCATGAGTAGGACCTCCTTTATTACATAGTTGGGGATGAGGCCCAGAATTTCTCTGTATGTTCTACTTCCTGAATGTGTTTTTTCATCTGTGTTTCTACAGATGAAATGTGAATATCTGCTAGAGTATTTTAGGACTTATTTGAGCGCTTTAGTACCGAAATTACTGATCATAATTTCGGTGATGTTAACTTGATGCCTTTAGTGCAGTTGACTGTTGCGCATCTGGGTTTTGTTTGGTTTTCCACCTTTTTAAGGTGAGCAGAAATAAATTTTGTATGTGTTGTTTGATCTACTATGTTGGGTGTCCTCACTAGTCAATACATGGTCATTTTGGATATTATAAAATCAGATTTGAAGACTTTTTAATATAAATAAAAATACATAAATATAAAATTGACACAGACACAAATACAATCTGCTTAGCCTGCGGGTGTTTAAACTAGTTTCTCATAATTTTCATGGTATCTTTTGCTGCAGGTACCACACAGTGGAATGCCTTCTTGGGAATCACACTAGGCTTAGGGCTGACCAACATGTATGTGAAGGACAGGGTGTTTTGGCATTAAAAACTCTGGCAGTGCTTGAAATGTTTTCTTGTTTTATCTTGAAGTCTTTGAAATTCACTCAGGATATTTATATTCCCTTCCTATTTTCCTGACTTTAGTGAGCAAGAGTGTTCAATACATGCTTTTAAAAAGTAATGTTTTGGTTTAATTAATTTCTTAAATTAATAAAAATGACAACAAAAAAGGCAGCTATAGAGTCATCCAAACATGCAAGCTTTCTTTTCTACTGTGAGCATATTGCTTTCCCTTCTGAAACCTGATGTTTGACAGCTGAGTAGTTAGTTTTAGATGATGTTAGTAGCTTTTGTTTCACACTACTTCTGAAGCATGTGAATCCCATGATATTTGGTAGAGAGCTTCAAGAACGTAATGCATCTGAAGATGATGGAGGAGTTAAGCAGTTCATCTCATTCTTTAATAGCTTTCACTTTTATATAGTTGTATACTTTCAAAATAGGGAACACCAGGTTAGGACTGTCTTAAGTATGTTCTTCATTGTGTTTCTGTCTCTGTGTGTTCATTTTCTAGTGAAGGGTTGTTTAATACACAGATGTGTTTTTTGGAAAAGGAGTCACTGTTGAAAGTTGAAATAAATGACAGTGGACTATAAAATAAGTAACTTATTTCTTAAAATGATGCTACTAGCAAATTTTGTCTTGGATCTGCATGTTGTGCTTTCCTTAACCTCACATTTGCTTGTTTAGTGAAATCTTTGAAAATTTCCTGTGGATTCTTGAAGATGACTTTGCCAAAGAAAATACTTTTTAAATAGATTGCCTTTTTTTTTTAATTTTAATTATTATTTGATGTAACTGCACTGCTTGAATGTAGTGGACAAGTGATTTGATAATTTTTGCTGTTATTATACAGATATGGTTTTGGACAACATGATTGCCTCTGGCCAGCTGGATGAATCCATAAGGGAAAACGTGAGACAGGCTCTTCTGAAGAGGCACCATCATCAGAACGAGAAAAAGTTCAGCAGTCGGATTCCCCTGGTTCGGTCTTTTGCAGATATAGGCAAGAAACATTCTGACCCTCACTTGCTTGAAAGAAATGGTGAGAGAAGTTGTAGCATCCAGTTTGTTCTAACGTGTTAAATAATGTTCGCAATGGGAGATGAAGGAAAATTCAGCTGGTAATAGCAGATAAGTGTTTCCTTCTTGATAAGCAAGGAACTAATGATAACAGTGTGTGCTATATGTAGCTGTGCTTGATGTTTCCATATATTTTTGACTTTACTCAAACACTCTACTCCTGCCTGTATACATAGCATGCATTAGCGTTTTGAAGTATAGGAATAGACCTGCATTGGTCCTAGCGTTTTTTAGGATATGCTCGAATAAAATGTGTAATGTTTGAGGTATTTCAGCATCCTGGCATAGCTTTATGTTTATCAGATGGATTCTACTTGCTTATTCAGTTTTTATACTAGGGATTTGTTGTTGTGTCATGAGTTCAGTGATGCTGACAGTTACTGTGTTTTAATTCAGTGTTAATATGACTAGAAAATGTTCACTGTGCTAATGGTGGAGAAACTACTTTTATCTGGAACACTGTTTTTTACCTTGTATTCTAGAGAGGGTTTAATGGGGAAGGAAGGAATCTAAAACCTAGGAAGCTATTAGCAACTTTTTTTGTAGGCTGTACCATGTCTTTTATGCAACCAGTTCCTGAAAATATGCTGGAATGTTAAAATATTTACTCTAGATATCCAGTTGCAAAGTCCAAGTAGCAATATATACTGCAGAAAAGCATACTTTATTCTTGTATTTCTTATGGCTGCTATTTCCATTTCTGTCCTTTGTTTTCTTTTTGCTGTGCATTGACATGCATACTATTTCAATGGAATTTTTTAGTCTAGTGAAAACTTAGTACAAATTTCATGAATCAGTCCTTGAAGTGAGATTCCCGTCTTGAAAGATGCCTAACTGCTTACATATTCCATTTAGTTAAGTGCTTGTTGGGAGGGACTTCTCATTTTGGTACCTAGTTGGAGTATGCTGCAGCAGAAGTCCCAGCTTGTTGATACTGTGTTAGCTAGTGCATGTATGATGCATGCATAAATATTTCCAGGATAGTTTTAGAATTATTTTTTCTAGAATGAAAATACAACTAATTTATATAAGAACATAGTTCCTTCTATAACTTCCAACTTCCCTGTTTTCTTCAGCAAACATGAAAATTTCACATAGAAACTTGTTTTTACCTATCCTTGAATACCTGTATCCCCAACTGTAATGCTCAGAATTTTGTATTCAAGGGCTGTTGCTTGTCAGTTCCTTTTCATGTGTCACTTCCATTTTCCAGTGTATTTTATTCCTAATAATGTTCCCACAAGAGAATATGGGATAGATGCTCAAATAAGAAGCCAGTATAACATGATTAATTCTTTGCCAGCATGTACCAGTTTACTTTTTCTTTGTAATCCTATGGTTAAACTGGTAAACCAAACCAGTTTGGTTTGCATATGTGCATAATACCTTTTAGGGCCCTTATTACACCTGTGTGTTAGGATAGCTCATTTTCATGATTCATCACAGATACCCTGGCAGAAGTCTAGTTATTAATGTAGTGATTAATGTGGATAAAATCAACCAGTTTGCTCTGTTGGTTCTCTTGTCTTTACTGTGCTGCAGTTTTAATAGTTGATCTTTGAGGTTTTTGTTTATAATTTAAATCAAGTTTGTATCTGTAGGATCTGCTCTTCCATTGTCGGAGGGGGAGGAAATGTATGTGACTTTTACCTAGGCATACTTTCCATGCCTCTTCCTTGTAAATTATTGTAGGATTGTTCAACGTATTGATCTCTGTAGTGCCTAGTATAAATGTGAGACTACGTGTGTCTAGTTTGCTGTTCCCTTGCTTGATGGTGTGGTATGTGAAAACAGCATGTTTTTGATTTCAGGGATTGTAGGAGAAGTAATCAGTACTCTTCTTGAGGAGCCTGCCATCCCAGGAAAAGTATTTGTGGTTTTGTGAGAGGAATGGTATCGCTAAACCTTCTAATGGAAGTACTGATATGAGGATAAACATTCTTTTCCTGTTTAATGAAGAACTGAAATCCATTGCAAACTTAAATCTGAGGGCAACATGACAAGACTATGTTCTCTTTATATGAAATTAGTGGGACAGTGAAAGTGGATAGGGCAAGAAAAGTAACAGTGAATTTTGGATCATGGTATTATGCAGTTTGGGAACTTTGGTAAGTCACAGCAAGAAGAAATGCAGAAGGGATAATGCATTTCCTCATGCCCTCTTCAAAAATATTTATTGAGACTACAGCTGACTAGAAAACTTCTTATTAAACCCAGACTTTTCTTAGAAGACAGTTGCATTTAACATGGTTAGATATGTTTGATCGTGTTCATTTTGAAATACCTCAATTTTAAAAATAAGTCTTTGTATATAATGGGTACAGTTAACTGAAGTCTTGTAGTGTTTTGGCTGCTAATGATTTTTTTTTTTTAATGTAGTTTTTGGATGGCATTAAAGGTAGCTGCTGTGCAATGTGGAATAAGAAATCCCTCCAGGAAAATTTAAGAGTCAGTTTTAAGAGATACAGTTTTCTTTTTTTTTTTTTTTTATTATATTAACAAATAATACTGACTTTAAGATAATATCTTCTCCCACATATCTTTGCCGTTCTAATTAGTACTTATCAGTAATTCCTGACTTTCTGGTTGTGTGAAATCAGATTTGCTTTTTTCTCTTGTCTTACTTGCATGAGTATGGCACTTTTTGCCCATAAACCCTGCAATTTACTATGTAAATTGTTAATGCATATTTGTGTCTGTGTTGTTTTCTAGTGTAGCCCTGTTCTAAGCCTCATGGTGTTTCATTTGTTTTATCTTGGGGGAAGGCCTTTCAGCCTCCCGCCACTCTTTGCGAACAGGTCTCTCTGCCTCAAATATTTCCCTGAGAGGAGAAAACCGTTTGTCAGTTCTTCTCAATTACCTTCTTCCTTCTTCGAGAGCTGGAACCCCGTCAGCCTCAAGGTGTACAACCCCTATAACTACCCCTCAAAACACACCACCCTCCAGTCCTACCTGCAGCCACCTGCCAACCACAAGTGCCCAGCCAAGTCCACTGCAGGGCAAGGAATTGCTGGTGTCACCTGCCAGTGATGATATTCCTTCAGTAGTAATCCACCCACCTGAGGAGGACTTAGAAGTGCAGGAATGCCATGAAAAGAAGACAAAGGAAAATACTGACAAAACACCAGGCAACTATTACAATTTAAGCTGTCCGTGTGTGATGCTGTCTGCATCTGGATCACTTGCATTGTGATGTTTTTGGCACATAACTTTGGCACAAAGGAATATGTGATAACTGTTACTTTTGCTGCATGTTTTATTTATTCTCAGTTGTTTCTATTTCCTTGTTTGGCATTTCTAACTTTTTAGCTTTTAACAAAAGCCAGCAGAAAAAAAGAACATGTTTAATTAACCTTCATTTGTCTAATTTAAAAAGGAATAATGTTTTTAAAATGTAACATATAAGCAAAATGTCAAAAATGGTGGCCTTTTCCTTTCACTCACCTACAGTCATGTCAGGTTTTGCTTTGCTGGGTTTTTTTGTCAGTGGTTGAATTAGTATTTTAAACCAGTGTTTGATATCCTGAGATAGCTACAGCCGAAGATGTAGTGAAGTATTAGAGATGAATATGAAAAGAATTAGGGAAGGTAAAATTATCAGTGATGTTCCTAGCTTATTTCTATCATGAAGTCTTTAAGCAGTTGTTTTGCTTTTGTTCTGTTAAAAACAAGGGCCATTAAAAACAGTGGCAGTTTATGATGAAACTGGCCAGTTCAGTTCATCTAAAACTGTTTTCAGATAGCTATACATTAGTATAGCTCTGCTTCAGTATCTGGCACTTGATCATTATTTTGTTGTGTTAGATATGCAAAATAGGGTAGACAAGGTAGACAAGAGTTTATAAGGTAGACAAGAGTTTATAATTGTAGGTTTGTAGATCAGAGCTCAGCAATTTATTAATTTTTTGCCTTGCAAAGCTATTGTTCTTTGCATGTTAAAAGGCACGTGGATGTATAGCTAAGTTGAAAGAAAGGATGGATAGTTCTGACAGCTTCTTTAGTAGTTTTTAGTAAATATTTAGTAACGTCTGCATTCTGCATGCATACTGCTATGCTTGCTTTACTTCTGCAAAATTATCACCTATTTGGAGACTTCAGGATTCTTCTAGATAGATAATGGTTTTAAGATCATTTCTTTTGGCCTTTAAGCTCCTCCTGGGGGTGGAGAGGGTTAGGGTGTGGGGTGTTTTTCTTGAGTTTCCTTCCTCACTTGTTTAACGATTAAGAGCACACTTACAACCAGCAGTGAAAATACGCTGACAGAGAAAAGGTTGTGGTTATCTCTCTTCACATTTTGCAACTGAATCACTGAGAAGGAAAGAGCAAGCTAAGTTGTAGGCTGTCATATTGAGTTGGAGTAGGGGTCTATCTTTACTTAAATTCAGAAAAGCAAACAGAAGGCTCTTTTCTCCCACTTCTTTATGGGAAAATACAAGAATTAAGATTGTTCTCTCTCATGGGTGATCTTGCAAAGGTAATAAAAAAACAGAACTGAAACAGCTGTAATTACTCGCCCAGTTCTTACTTTTCTACTCATCTGACAGGAATTACAGCATGCCAGACCCAAGGTTTTTAGAACCCAAGAGAAGGCAAACAAATGAAGATCAAATACTTGATGCCCTAACATACCACTAATAGAGTTTTTTGATACCACAAAATATACCACCAATAGAGCTTATTGATACCACTAATAGAGCTTTCCACCAGAATCTCCAAGTCATGTTCAAATTGCTTTTGTGCCTTTATGCTTCTCATAAAGGAAGAATCTGAAGGGATGATTTCCCAGTTAATCCATAAATGAAAGTCTTCTCAGAGAAGGATGAACACCAATAATGATGGAATATGTTTTTGTTTTCTGAGGGATTTTCCCCCCTTTTTGAATTCAAGAAGTCATCTGAACAGAGAGACACATTTTCTGTAGACTTGCCTTGAAGACATTCTCAGGCTATGACTTTGGGGCTGCAATTGGACTAATCTCCTGATTATTACTTCCTGGCCCTGCTGGCTGCATTATTTCTGATACAGACCAGGATGCTGTTGGCCTTCTTGGCTGCCTGGACACAAGCTGGCTCATGTTCAGCCAGCCTTCAGTCAGCACACCCAGGTCCTTTTCTGCCAGGCAGTTTTCCAGCCACTCTTCCCCAAGCCATTGGTCCATTCCGCTATAAGTTACGGTTTGTATTCCCTCTCTAGTAATTCAGAATATTGCAATCTGAATACTTTTCCACATCTGTATAATTAAGTTTGCCTCCTGTGAGCATTAGGAATCTTGTTAATTTTCTAATAGGTGGTTTTCTTCTGTGTAGCATTCATCTATCTTTGACCTTGTGCTATTGAGACTTTATTTTTAGTCTTTATAAATAGATGGAAGGTTACTGAACTTAATGTGAATTACTGTTAAAGGAGGGAAGAGGGGAATACTTTCAGTCTACCGCTTTTCATCAACCAGTCATCAGTTCGTAACGGGTCCACCAGGCAAAGGGTTCTCTTAATGATATTGTTCTTATTTTGTCATCAGCTGAAGAGCAGCTTTTGTTTTCCCATCTTTGAAACTGTTGATAATGAATTCCATAGGTAGAACTAGGAAGAGAGAGAGCTGTGTCACAGCTAAAGGTGAACACTCTTAATTCACCAGTATCATTAAGCTTTCTTAATGTCTGAACAGTGGCAAAGTTCCTGTTTTAAGAAGTCTTTTGGTTTATTGATGAATGTACATTAAAACTGAGTAAGATAATATTTAGAACAGCTTTGCTTTTATAATAATAACATACTGAAAATAGTAATTTAGAGAGATGTACATATTTGCCTTCTAAGAGCAATTTTAATATTTTCCCATTAAGGCTCATTGGAATTTAGTTTTAATAATTGATTTTTATTTCCGTAAATACTAATATAGTGTGAGTTTGTATTTGCAAGTTTTGTGTTTCATAAACTTTCACTATACAAACACAATTATGTTGGAATAATCCTGCTTAGGTGTTGAACTGCTCTTATTTCCCCGATGTATTTATTTTTACCTGAAGTAGAGATGTGAGGCAAATGTCTGTATTATTCTTGCTTTCTTTTTCCAGTAGATAATGTCCATTAGATTTTTGTGATCACAGTAGTAAACTAAGTGTAGTTGGCTAAAGAAATGAGTATGACCTTTAGTGAAGGTGTAGTTTTCAGTACTTTAACTTGAGTGATCTTAGGGTGTTTTAATCCAAACTTACTCAAGACTTGATCAACTGTTGTCTTTCTAAGGAGACAGGTGGTATATCTGCCCAGCTAACAGTGTCAAGAAGAGAACTGTGTATTTTTAACTATCCCATTGGTGGCTTTGGGAAAACGAGATGAATTTCTTCTCTGTCTTTGGTCTAGAAGAATTACTAGGTAGACTTCCTTTTAGCAGTAGCCTTTGAGGTTTTTATCTACTGAACTGGAAAGGAGAAGGAAAGAAGTTGTTCTGTTAGTGAGAGATTTCAGTAAATGTATTTCACAATTAGAGGAGATAATATCTGACTGATATACATAATAAAACAGTATCATATGGAAATGCTTGATCAGGTCTGTAAAACTTAGTAGTCTTCTCATGTGAGCAGAGCAGTCTGTCCAGCTGCAAGACCAGCAGAAGGAAAGCTATTTACATGTGGTTTAAAATCAGACAGGTGTTCCTGTATTGGTGCCAAAACTTGTGAATCTTGACTGTGACTGGTTGGAGAAATTTTGAAGGCAAACTTTTTAGAAGAATTGGTATCGCAGAAATAGATTAGTTTACGCTAATGCGTAGAATCCTTATTTTCTCCTCTTTGGTTGTTTCTCCACATTTTGTTCTAGTCTCTGCTTGCTCTTGCTCTCAGAGCATTTGTGTAAAGGGCAAAATGTTGCATTATTGTTCATCTTTCATCAATTACCTTTATTGTTATGGGGGGGGGGGGACGACGTGAAAGAAGTTTGTGTGTATCCACTTTCATATTATGCTCTTCTGCAACAACTGCTTAATATTTCTGTTCTATTTCTGGTCCTACAAATACATCTTAACATCAACTCTTATGCACTTAAAAGACTGAACAGCTGATTTTGCAGGTGGTTGATTGCTGTTAGTCATTCTTGTGAATAACGCATACATCTTGGAGCAGAAGGGTAGAATTGTGACTGCTTTGTTTTCCCTAGCTTACCTAATGTTGTATTTCTAGGGTTAGCTAATTACTTGTGCGTGTTAGGATTCACAAACAAAATTACAGCTTACTAACTTCATTTGGTTTTTGCTTCAGGAAAAGCTACCCACACCACTTACATCCCTATGAACTGTAAGAATGAAAATTAATGGTAAAAGCTTGGGCCTGCATGTTTCTTTGATATGATGGCTCTTTGAATGAGGGTGTTTTTTGTTTTTTTTTTTTTTTTTTTTTTTTTTTTTTTGTTGTTGCTGGTTTTTTTAACTAAATTTGGGGATCAAATAAAGCTAATTCGGTTATCATTTGAAATGCTAAAAAAGTCAAATTACTAAATTATAAACACGGATGCAATTAGTTATGCAGTAGTACTTAAGATAGAGCAATAGCCAACAGGTAGCCAAGTGAGGACTTCAGTTTTATCTTGGGTGGTGCTTGGCCTAAATACAAACTTTCTGCATGTAATACAATGTTGAGACTTTTACTCTTTGTCCAATGTGGTTTTGAAAGCATGTTAAAGCATGATTTTATCACCGTATGTGAAAGGTCTAGTGTAGACAAGCAAGGCCAAATGCACTTCTAGTGCATGTTAAACTGAACAAGTAAAAGCTCTATAGTGCAAAAGATGGGATTTGGGCTTGGTTATGCATGCCTAGACCAGCTTTTAAATGGTAGTTGGGAAGGGATAGCCGTGGGACAATATGGTATTCAGGTGTACAAACACCTGGGTTACTTGCCTTTTGCACCCTTAATGAGCCGGGAATTCACTGTTGCTAATAGCATGGCAAGCTATATAAAACAGTTTTGTCTTGAAGCAGGTGTCAAAAGGAAGCTGTATGTTTAATAGTTTCATTGCACGTGCCTCTTCAGCTAATGTGTTAAGAGACACCATTTCATATAGTAACATCTGGTCAGGTCAATACTTGGAGCTTTGGTCTGTAGATGGGAATTGTGGTTTGTAAGCAGTCTCTCCTTCATGTAGTACACAATTTATTTGTGCAAGTTAGTTAACTACTAGGGTATTGTTCCTTGTAATTGTAGTCTGGCTTGCCAAGGCTTTTACATTTGAAATAATTGCTATAGAGAAGACTAGGGAGCAGAGGTGTTGCTTTTTGTGTTTGAGGACTTATAAATATAGCAAAGATGCTGTCTGCTACTTACTAGAGCAGTTATGATTAAAATGTCAAAAGTTGTTATTTTTTTTCTGCACTTTAAGTAGCTCTAATTTACTGGTGACTGTTCTGCAAATGGCCATCATTTGGGCAATACTTATGTTTTTTAATGATGTCATTATTTTGACAACACAGTGACTTGTTAATGTTGCATTTATGATACTAATGTAGGGCACCCTTACTGAATAATTTGCACATTTGCTTTAAGCAAGCTGCCACATTGAGTGTTGGTAGTGTCGCATACTTGGTTCAGTTCGTACACCATTTTGAACTTACCCCTTTTGTTTTGGTTTAGGGCTGTTAGCATCTCCACAATCAGCACCTGGAAATTTAGACACTGGAAAAACCGGAGAGGTTAAAGGTACCGGGGCAGGAGGAAGCAGAGAAAATAGCACAGTTGATTTTAGTAAGGTAAGTAACCTTAATGTTTAGCAGAAAATAACTATGTAACAAAAAATGTGGTTGTAACTTCCCTCTTATTTACAACTAAGAAACATATAGGTACACATGTGTAGGAATGTACACAAGACATATGTACTTAGCTGTAATTTGTATGTACAAGTGCCACAATGTGGTGTAGGCTAAATGCGTCAAATGTATTTGAAAGCCCTCCCAGTGAGACTGAACTTTGTTTCCTTTGATCTTTTCATTATTATGGTAACTTCAAGAGTGCAGTTGCTGTGCTTTCTCATGAAGAGGGAGGTATTTTCAGATTTGCTATAAAGACTCATAAAACCAGTATTATAGATAGTGTTGTAACGTTTTCCCTAGCACAGACTTTCTGGATTTTTTGTAAAGAGGGCTTTGAAAGGAAATTTGTTTTGTATGTTTTATGAGTTTGCTGTTGAAAAGTTATTATTGTGCATCTTAATCATTAGGAGCATACAATACAACTTTCTGAAGGAAATCTTGTGTCATACTGTAAATCCTTTGTATTTCTTTCATAAATTTAAATTTTCTGGACAAGTTCCATCTGTGAAACTAAGAAAATTGGTCAATTATGCTTAAGGAAAGCTAACTTACACCGTAGTTCAGATCTAATCATGGCAGGGGCCATATATTCCTGTCACAGTTTTTGTTTTTTCTTGGCGTGTCCTTCTGTACACCTGCCTTGTCTCCTGTTGGGCAGGAGTCAGCCTCCTGGCACTGTAGTTGTGGCACACTTGGTGTGGGACTCAAGAGGCCACCTGTGAGTTCTCTAGATAGCCGTGTAACTGGTGCTTGTGTTTATGTGAACAGAGTTCATGTGCTGTACCATTTTCTGATGCTCTTCTGTAATTACAGAAACAAATGTCAGTATTTTCAGCCATCGTATTTTTGAGATGAAGACAAACATACAAATTATATTTCAAAATTATGACCTATTTGAAATATACAGCTGTGAAACAACTACTTGCATTCTAGAAACTATGTGTAATTACATGAACTCTCCGTAGTTAATTTTGTGCATAGGTTTTATTATATCCCATCACAGAATGTTTGTTATGATAAGCAATATTAGAAAGGTGGTTTTGCAGTTTGGAGTCTTCTAGAATATGGTAGGTAGTAGTAATTCTAACTTCTAGAAAATAGTTTATTAGTTGGCTGCCTGACGTTTTCGGCATATGTTTGTCTTTTCTGTACTGTGGGATATATAATTTGCCTTTGTAGCATAGATGTCTAGTAAATATTGATAAACTTACGTAAGGGAATAAACACTTGTTTCATCTTTGCATGAATAGGTTGATATGAACTTCATGAGGAAAATACCTGCAGGAGCAGAAGCGTCAAATGTATTAGTGGGAGAAGTAGACTTTCTAGAAAGACCTATTATTGCTTTTGTGAGGCTCTCCCCAGCTGTGCTTCTCTCAGGTCTCACAGAAGTTCCGGTTCCTACACGGTAAATAACTGCTTAGAAGGTCTGGCTTTACTTACACAAGATGATAATAATATTTAAGATCTCAAAAAGTTATACCTTTTTATACCTACTGTATTAAGCTCAAGAAATGTAAACTTTTGTTTAACATGATGTCAGTCATTTGGTGCCAAATTTAAAGGAATAAGATTCACTATAAAGTCTCTGGATGCTTCAAATGCATATAATGATTCTGTCTTAAACAAGTGCAGAAGCTGAAACTGGTAGTTGACCTGCAGTAAAAGCAGTGAATTCTCCAAGCTTGTGTTGCCATTTTAAATATCGCATGAAGATTGCTATACATCCCTTCAGCATGGCACAGAGTGGCAGTGGGAAAGAGTCCACAAAGTCTGAAAGTCTGTCTAATTTGAAACTGTGCTCATTGTATAGAAATACTCTGTATATGAATAACCTCAGTGGTGGAAAAACTTAGTTTTTTCAATTACATGCCCAAATCTATGTGGCTAACACTGGGGTAACCAGTCTTCAGCTAATACATTGAATTGTTTTTCAGTCTGCAATATTCTATCCTTCCTGATGCACCCACCCTCATCCCCCCGATATCATGGGTCTCACAGTATACTGTGTGTAAATTACCACAGTTCATCAAACATGAAAATGCAGGTCCCATGATAAAGATGGCAGGCTGTTTTGTCAGTCATCATAGAGGGCACTTCATTTTCTGTGCACATTGATGTATTTGTCTGTTCTGTGGTGTTTGGCATAAATTTATCCATTTATGTGTTTTGGTGGTTGTCTTTTTAATATTTTAAAATTATCAAAGTGCTTGCTTGGTAATTTTCAATTTATACACTCCTACTGAAAAGCAAAAATAATCTTAGCAATGTTCTGTAAATAGGAGAATATTTGGGGACTAGTTGCTCATAAAGTTTCTTGGGAAGTTCCAGAATTTCTGCATACGGATTATTGTATTAATGTAGCTAAAATTATCCTGTCCTGAATTTTTCAGAATGGTTTAGACTTGCAGATTTGGAATAGCATATTTGATTCTAAAGACGCGGTTTCAGTAGGACAGTCACCTTGCAAAGGAAAGATAACTGAGCTTTTTGTACTATATGGGGAAAGAAGGCGCTACTTTTTAAAAGTATGTTGTTTGTACTTAAAAATTTTATTTTCATGGAGTATAGGAAGAAGGTCATGAAAACAATTATGGAGGTTTGGTGCTTTGTGTCTGTTTAAATATATAAGATACTAATCCTGTTTGGTGGTGTAATAACTGTTACTCTGATTGGAAATGGAGACTGTTAACATACGGTGTGACCCACACCCAGATTGAATTCCCTTCCTAAAATGTCACTTTTACCTCCTTAGGTATTCAGAATACAGACTTGCTTCCACTGATACAGGACCAGGATATGTCCATATGAGTATGCCCAGTGTGTTCCTTGAAATATATCAATGTATCTGTTATGTGACGAGCCCAGTCACAGCAAGTAGGAGGGGTTTAACTCCCATGAAAGAGATAATTGATCATCAGAGAGGCTAGAGCAGGTCATAAAGCTCCTGGGCCCTCACTAAAAAAGTCTTTGCCAGTGGGAATGTCAGAAATGCTTATAACTTGGAGGAAATATCCATTGAGCTCTAGTCTGTGGATTTCTACTAGATATCAGGCATTATAAGAACTTGAAAAATCAGGCTTAATCAGGAAGCTTTTGTAGTAATTTCGGTTCAGGATTCGAGTTCCTTCCATTTGAGGCCAACCTTTTCTTAGTCTTGCAGCAGTCAAGATCTGAAATGGTGAAGAGGATTTTTACTTCACTACTAAATTTTCTTTAAGCATTAGTTTGAAAAACCCCTCTGAGCATATTCAATTGAGTCAGCTGTATTCTTGATTGCTCTCTCCACAGGTTTTTGTTTTTGTTGCTGGGACCAGCAGGAAAAGCTCCACAGTACCATGAAATTGGAAGATCAATAGCAACACTTATGACAGATGATGTGAGTGGTATTTTAAACACTTGTGATTAAAGAAGTCCATAATAATGTGCTTACCAACTGTTTTTAATTAAAATATTCTGGAGTGCAGGGTTAAAATCACCCCACTCCCACAAACTGGTTGAGTAAGTTTACAGTTTTCCATTTATTTCTTGTGTTAGTGAAGTAGGTAATGGTAAATTAATTCTTTCTCTTATCTTCCTTGAAGGAATCCTAAATGTATTTCTGAAAAAAAATTGTAGCTTTGGTGTATAGATTTCCTGTGTGTCTTAAATTAGGAAATTGAACTATTAAATGGAACTGAGCCTGATATGAATCTCTCATGTTTCAGAAAGGACACAGCCAACTGCCCAAGTGTTCTGGACAGTAAGTTTAAGAATGTGATTGAGTCATCAGAGATCTCTTTTGAATCAAAGTGATGTCAAATAATTAGGATTTTACTAGGCATCTGAAGTCATATGCTTAGCCCTGCTGAATGGTTTTGAAGAGCCCCGGGGCAGTTTGGACTTTCAAATACTAATGTTATCTTATTGAGCAAAATTAGAATGTTTTAATTCTGACTTCCCATTGAGCACCACCTACTGAGTTGCTGATAATTATTAGGGCTATCAAGCAGAAATTCTAAGGTTTCTTTACTCTAGAACAGTTTAAAGTTGGAAATGTAAACCAGAAATGGGTCATTTTACAGTTGGCTTCTAGTCTGTTAATACAGTACTTGTACAGTGTGAGAACTGCATATTAAAAGCTTTAGTTGCCACTTCTAATTTTTAAGGTAGCTCTTAATGCAAAAGTATGCAACTAAAGTAAAAGCCTAACTTTTGAGGACCTTTGAAAAATATTCCATGCCTTTTAAAAAATAGTGAAGTGTTCCTTGTAATCACATCCTCTTTCAAAAAAATCAAACCACCACCACTGTTTCGTAATTTCTTCTTGTAGGTTTTCCATGATGTTGCCTATAAAGCGAAAGACCGAAATGATTTGTTGTCAGGAATTGATGAATTTTTAGACCAAGTGACAGTCCTGCCCCCAGGAGAATGGGATCCATCTATACGAATTGAGCCACCAAAAAGCGTTCCTTCCCAGGTAATACTATAAAAACATGCACGTAAATTGTGTACTGAATGTATACTTCAGTAGAGCATCTGGAGAGACCCCACATTAGGGATTGTCAATTTAAGTAAAAAAAATGCAACAGTGCATTGTCAATTTAAGTAACAAACAAAACAGTCAGAGAAACAAAAAAAGTTTTTTTCCTTCTATACTTAAGTAAGTTGTATTTACTATATTTCCTTTCATAATGCTGAAATGAGTTTCTGTGAGATCTAGAAGAACTGATCAGAAGTTGTACCTCAGTGCATGCTATAAATTTATTAATCAAAGAATGATCAGCAAGAATATTGTAATTCTTCTAAAAACTTTTATTTGCATACAGCATTTATTGAAATGTAATGTGTATTGGCTAGCATATAATGTTCACAGAATGTTTATGAATTAGATTAAAAACTGGATCATATCGCTCAGTTGTGGCAAAAGTTTAGAATTAGAACCAGGGCAAAGCTGGACCTTCGAGGGACTCAGTTTTCTTCCCTTTCTTCTTCACAACTGAGGGGAATTGCTGCTGCCAGGATCAAAAGTGCTCTTGATTCAAAAGGTTGACATTGGTGTTGAATCCAGTGGTGATTTAGGGGTGTGGGTGGAATGGAACGGGTGACAGGAGCACAGTCTGTTCATGAATAGCCTGGAGCTACCACTTAACTTGTTTCCAAAGTAAGCAGGCCTCAGGGCTTTTTGCAAGGCAAGCTGGACTGAGAAATTTATGAGGAGCTTGTGAGCAGCTTGCTCAATAGGGGAATGACTTCTCATTTATACTGGAATGACTTCTTACTCGTACTTCAGCTAAACACTGTGTGTGTCAAAAAGTGAGGTCAGTTTCTGTTGGAAGCTAGAGGCCTCTGCTCTGGAAATGATTGAGGTGGGGGGAAAAGAAACATAAAATTTCTAGGCAATCATGGTTGAGCCTCTACTGTGTTTTGAAAAGGTAGCCTTTTTTCATCATGTTTCAGGGACATATTTCTTGTAGAAAGAGGGAAGATATGGTTGTGCAAAGTACTACTAGTAAGAGCTTCTGGGGAGTTTTTGTACAGTTCTAGTCATCTGTACTCAAGATGACTTTGGCAAATGGAGGATTGCTGATGAGCTGGGAACATGATAAAGGTTTGGGAGGTGTGAAGTCTCTGCATGCCGTCTTTGAATTATACTTCTTAGTGTAAAGGCACTCTGAAAGTATGATATTTTTCTTTTCTTTTTCCCCCACCTTTACCGCCCACAGGAGAAAAGGAAGGCACCTAAATTTCCAAATGGATCTACTCCTACAGGAGAGACTCTCAAAGAAGAAGGCCATCATGCTGGACCTGAACTTGAGAGAACTGGAAGGTGTGTTCACTTTCCTAAATAGTAGCTACCATAAAGAAATAAAAGTAATAAACCTTCACAGTTTTTAATGGTGACATTTGAACATAAGAATAATGGTGCGTCAGAGCGCATCCTTTTTCCTTTTCAAGTGTTGAATTCTTGCCTATAAATGCCAATCCACTTAAAGCATTTTCAAGCCTGTGGCAATGTTTCTCAACACATTTGCGAAGGATTTCGTATAAGATGCTGCCTAATTTAACTAACTGACTTTAGGAGTTTGATTTTATAATTGTCAGGAATAAGCAATTATCATAATTGTAGCAGGAATATACAGATTTCAGTATTGGGCTAGGTACTAAAAATTTCAATTTAAATCTGCTTTATTAAACATGTATGAAATGGAACATCCAGGGATATAAAGGGGAAAGAAAATACTTTGGTATTGGTTATGTTTTGGATTTGGTCAGGTTTCTTTTAGATCTAAACTAAAATTGAAGGAATTTCTTTCAGTTGACTTGCATTGTTATTCCCAGTTAGTTCTGAAATACTTGCAAAAAAGTCCAACATTGGAAATATCTGGTTAAGATTAAACCTTAATATCTCATGTATGAGAGAGTATGGATAAAATCAACTGAGAAATTCTGAAAAATATGTACAATGATGTCATCCCCAAAATAATGAACTTCCAAATGAAATGCATCTTTCTCATACCTTTGCAAGAAGGACTTTACAACATTTGTGTTGATTTTTACTATTTTGGCCTTGTTATACTTACTTTCTGCTGTTTTGCAGACAGTATGTGGAGCTGAGAGATTAATTTCTGCCCACAGTTATTGTTAGATGAGACTCTTGTTTTTCTTAGGAATGGAATATTAAATTATTTTTTTATAATTCAAAATAAAATCTTTTTTTTGTAGGTGCAAATTATACCTGATATTTTGGAGTCTTGTAAATTTTTTGGAAATTGACAAAAGCTTTTTAATTTCTTGCGAGTAATTTACTCATTTGAACTGACATGTTTGATTTTTGTATTTCCGTTTTAGCATATCTCTATATTCCAGGTGAAAACACTATTAACAATAGTAGACCTAAATTTATTTATGGATCTAACCATATGCATGTAGAGAATTTGAATCAGCTTACTGGAGCAGTAATATTGAAATGTGTCAATGCAGTGGTCTTGGTTGAGGCTTAGCCCATTTGTTCTGTTTCTTCTTTTGAATGTTGCAAGACAGATTTGACTTAAAGCATTATTTAGGTAAAAGCACTTGCAAAGATATTTTTTTCAGTATCTAGCCCATATACAAAAATACCTAGCCAGCATTTAAAAATGTGGATAACCTGCTTGATTATGTTTGGAATACTACTGAAATGGAATAGATACGATTCTCATTTACTTTTTAAACTGTTATGATTTAATCTGGATTATGAAATAGCTAATTTGTGCTGGAAGTAGGCACTGGCAGTCATGTGTAGCCCATAGTTTTGAACTAGCTAGAATCCTCTAGTGTACAGTTTGACGAGTTTCATCTCACCTATTTAGGCTTTTTGGTGGTTTGATACTTGACATCCAAAGGAAAGCACCTTTTTTCTTGAGTGACTTCAAGGATGCATTAAGCCTGCAGTGCCTGGCCTCGATTCTTTTCCTATACTGTGCCTGTATGTCTCCTGTAATCACTTTTGGAGGGCTCCTGGGAGAAGCTACACAAGGCAGAATAGTGAGTACAAAGAATGGTAGTGGCCAGGCTTTTAGACCTTCAGAGGCAAGTCACTGTGTGCATTTGTCTCATTTATTTATACTTGTATTTGAAGAATTTACCCACAGCACTTGATTAGCCTGCCCCAAAGCAGATCTTCCCCAAAAGGTAATTGCTGTGGAAAATGTGGGGAACCCATGTGAACAGGAGAAGATGCACAGTGGAGGTAAAAAAATGTTTATCCTGCCTTATTGGATGAGTGGCTTTCATGAGAAAAAGGCTTGCATTGCCTTCTTTTTGGCTACATAAAATAATGAATATCAGTAAAGGTGCACCATCCCACTAGGCCTACTTTAGGCAAAGTCAGAAGCTCAAGGTGGATAGTCAAGAACATGTACTGGCCTTGAGTAGTAGGCCTATGAGGATGATAATGCCTGCAGCGTATGGGTAGCAGTCAATTGTGTATTTAAGTAATGGATAGGATATGCATATGCTTTCACTAATGGTATGTTGTTAACTATAAAGTGGCTAAGGTTTATGAGCAGAAAATACTCTTCATTTTAAAAGACTTGAATATAAACCATACACGTACAAAATTTTGGTAGTGTTAATGTTGGGCAGTAGATAACTTTGGTTTTGGGGGCGGGGAAAGAATACTTAAAATCACCAGTGTCAGTAACTTAGTATTTTTGTCGATTGGCTTGTGAGTTAACTAGTCTGAAGTGTATTTTCTGTTTGTAAATCCGTCATGAAGAAACAAGGCTCTGTCGTCTTGGGGGAAGTAAAGATGTATTTAGACATGTCCTTTACAAATTTTAAGTTTCTGGTTAAGCTTATGGGCCCATAGAAATCATTTTGATACTTAGATCAAGTTCTTTAAGCTTGTATTATATTAAAATTTAGTTAACTGTTATATCTCTTTCAAGTAGTGCTGTTGACTCAGATTTTTTGTTTATTGATGTAGCACTTCAAGCTGATAGCAAATGCCAAAATAAATTATCTCATTCTGTGTGCTGTTTTTGACACTGGAAATGTAGGAATGGCTATCAAAATATTGATGTAACTTTTGAGTGTGCGTTATGTATAATTATGAACATATGCTCCTTTTAAAGCTTGATTCTTAAACACCTTCTTTCTTTTAGCTATCTGGAATTGTTTGCGGGTTTGTTGCTGCCTTCAGATACTTGGTGTGCATCATTGAATATAAAATTTAGTTACTGCACACACATGTTCAAGCACAGTAGCTGACACTGTAAGGTACACAGTTTGTCTTTGAAACCTTCCCTCACATTCTCAGAGGTCATCACCTCCACAGTACTGTCCCTGCCACCCTGATCGAGAACCCCGAGGTTAATGCATTGACTGACCAAACGCACTAATTCTCAGGTAGTAAAACAAGAGACTGTGATTATATATATGTTTTTTTCCTAATGTAATTAACAAAGGACTTACGTTTTCGTTTCTGATAGCTCCAGTACAGCAAACCGTTTTGCCCAGTTCTAGGTCTTCCCTGATTTGGAGCTTAACTTTGCATAAATACTGTTTTCTTAGGCTTATGTAATTGTAAAATAGCAAACACTTAAAAATTCCACCAGGACCCCTTTAATCTGTAATCTATGACTTCTCATAATTAGTGTATTTAACTATTTTTAAGTAATTTTCATATCATTTTAGCATCTAAAAAATCCTGCCCCTCTGTTTTGAGGTGCAGCGTAACTTCTTTTTAGCAGAAAAGTGTTAAAACACCTAAATCGTGAGCTGAAGTAAGTATCTTACTTCAGTGAAAAGAAATGCATTACCAGGAGGGACATTGTTTTACTGCTCATCTATTTTTGGTGTCATGTATGCATAAACTGGTATTGTTATGTAGCTTCCCCTGCACCTCCACCTGTCAAGTTTCTTTCTTTTGTAATGCTTGGTTGACTGATGCAGGTTTTTAGTAAGGTATGTTGCAATATATTTGTCTGTTTTCTTTTCAGAGACAGATTATTCTTTCTGTAAACTACATGTTGAGTAACTTTTATTTTCTTATTTTGTGGTAATTGTTGGTATGTTTTTCCTCCGTAGCTGGCACGACTAGTAACTTGTTCTCATGGTTTTGGATGGCTTTATGTTTCTCAGGGACTGAAGTTTGCAAAATCTTTTTTCCATGGTATTGTAACTGCAAAACTGCGTTGTTATTTTTGTCTCAAACATCAATATTAATTGCAATGTTTTTACACCTTGTTTCTAAGTTAATGCATCTTAAAACTGTGTTTGTGCAGATGTGATGCTAAATGATAACCTAAAAGGCAGCATAGTTACAGCAGTTTCTTTTCCCCCAAACAGAGTGCAATAGAGTCTCTCTTTGGAGCCTCATTAACTGGGATTGCCTATTCTCTCTTTGCTGGGCAACCTCTTACTATTTTGGGGAGCACCGGACCAGTTCTAGTATTTGAAAAAATATTATTTAAATTTTGCAGGTAAGTGATGTTTGTATTCTCTTGATGTGCTTTCTAACTTGCTAGCCTGTTACAGTAGCTTTAATTGAAAACAGGTGTGTGCTAAAAGTGTACGTCCATGAAGATACAAATGCAGTGTCAAGAGACTGAGAGATGGATGGGGTTTGGCCAAGCTGTGAGGCACTGGTGAGCCTTGGTGAGAAAATCAGTGATAAGTAGTGGTTAGGACTTAAATAAAAGTTACGTTCTGATTGTGTTGAGATGCTGGCTTTGGTTCTGCAGGGGTAAACAGGGGTTGATCTGCCTTCTAGGAGAAAACATCAAAGTAATTCTAGAAAGATCATTCCCATGATGCTTCCCAAGCTAGGTGTTTGCACCCTCAATCCTAGAAACACACTGCAATGTTGCTTTGATTTGGTGGAAGAGGAGACAGAAAAGTTTCTGCTTCCTTCAGATCTAATGTTAAGGATGAGGAAAGTACCTCTTGAGCTTGGCCTCAGTATCTGTTTTCAAATAGAATATAAGTGACTTTTGGCTCAGTTAATTCTTCTGTTTCTGTCTTCACACAGGGATTATGATCTTTCCTACCTCTCCCTGCGAACTAGCATTGGTCTGTGGACTGCATTTTTATGCATAGTGCTTGTAGCCACAGATGCCAGCAGCCTTGTGTGTTACATCACTCGATTTACTGAGGAAGCTTTTGCAGCACTTATATGCATCATATTTATTTATGAGGCGTTGGAAAAGCTTTTTCATTTGGGAGAACTGTATGCCTTCAATATGCACAATGACTTGAGTAAACTGACTCTATATTCGTAAGTACCAAGTTTCTGTCTGTTAGTAAAATATGTAATGAAAATGTTTGTAGCACAGAGACATACCATTTACTAAACTGCAATGTGTGCCTGTCCTAGGAAGGGGAGGAGGAATGCTGGGGGTGGTATGGGCATGGGAAACATCAGAAAAATTCTATTCTGGATGCTGCGGATTGAATTTTCTGTGTTAGCTCTGGGTGGTTGGAAGGGATAAGGGGCTGTGACCCTGCCTGCTTTAATTGTACCTTTATTAAAGGTCAGTCTGGAGATTAGATCAGAACAGGCATTCTGCCTTTCCACTTCTAGAAATCGTGGTAGTTTACCTGTCCTGGGTGAGGATTAATTCCAGGTGGCTGAGGCATGGATAGGTTCTGCAACTTTCACATTCTGTACACAAGCTGTATAAGTTACTCTGTTGCAACTACCTCATAGCAATTGCTGCTTTCCAATCTTCTCCTCTTTCTTTTTGCTGTTACTTTAGGATCCAGTTAGGAAGGAAAGTGTATTTGTAGAATCATAGAGTGTGGGTTTGAAGGCATGTTAATTTAGTTCCAAACCTCCCCATGAACATTTAGTGCTTTTTCCTTCTTTATCTTCGCACCATCAGGATGCAAGCTTGCCCTTCTATGGTTCTTTGTTTTTTCGGTATCTTGACAAATCTCATAGAAAGAGGAGACTTACTTCTTGCTTACTCTCTGTTTCTCTTCTACATAAATGTTTATGTGTTAAGCTTACGGTTTGGTGTACTTAAATAGCTTTGATTTAATTGGATGTTTTCAAATAATCTTCAGTATGTTATATGGTTTTGGTTGGTTTATTTGGTTGTTTTTTTTTTTTAACTGATATGTACGTCTGTCAACCTGCCTGACAGAAAGGACCCTGCAGTCCAAATTTGCAAACCACTGCAGTAGGGAGGGGCACTTTTAATTGTACAAAAACTTACTGAAAAATGCATGTATGTAGTTTCTTTAAATCTGAACAGTTTATGTATTTCTATCTTCAGTTAGCCCACTACATACTCAAGAAGGGTGACTTCATGGTGAACAGTTTTGTCATGTGTAGATCAGAAATCATGCCAAATGCAAGATAAATGGCTAACTACCAGCATTTTAGAAAAGAATCAGAAACTTCTAGTACCTAACGACTTGTCTAGTTTGAAAAGGAGTTGCTGAAACTGAGTCATCTGCACCAATTTCTAAAATGGAATGGATTTTTAACTTAATCTTTTATTCACAATATGTAGAAGTCTGCATATATTATCTATTTAATTTTATTATCGGATGTCATTCTATATAGAAACTGGCAGAACAGCCAGATAATTACGTCACTGTCTTGCCTGCTTCTAAATCTTTAAAATACATAGTTTGGATTTTTTTGTCTAATCTGTTAAACCTCCTGAGCAGTTGCCTCTTTGATTCTTCTTTTCCCACACACCCCTAATAATCCTAATTCATGTCATGTAAGGAGGAGCCTTATACTCTGCTGCTTTCATAAAGCTTGGGGTAAACTGTGTTTTAAACTTTTCGGGATGTTTGAAATCACTGCACATCACTGCACTTTGGCACATATGGCTTAAAAGCATATACATTAATTTTTAATTCCCTTCAGATGTGTGTGTGCTGCTCCTGAGAATCCCAGCAATGAAACTTTGAGGGTATGGAGGAATATGAATAAGTCTGTGGAAAGTATAGCATGGAATAATCTTACAGTTCCTGTGAGTATCTAAAAGCTGTGTGTGTATGTATAAAACTAAATACACAGTACCACTCTTGATTATTTTTTTTTTCATCTTTCATCAAGAAATATTTGAACCTGCACTGTTGTCTTTAAACCTATGGTTTTGAAATCTTTTATTCCTCCCATAATGTTTTAAACAGTCATTGTAGTTGCTCGGATCAGTGAGTGCATGGCAGTAAATGCTAAATATCATAATACGCAGTAGTATCATGAAATGTCTGATTGAGGTAACCACTTGAATTCTAAGAGACAGAACAGTCTTCTTTGTGAATGTTGATGAGATAGATAAATAAATAAGAAATTGCCTCCCTCAATTTCCTGGAAAGGGTGAACAAATATTTTTAAGAAGAACTGAAGATGGAATCTGCAGTTAAAATGTGGTAGCAAACACTTTTCATTTGTTAAACATTGGTATGAAACTACAATAGAATCAAATAAACTACCTAAATAAGGATTGGAAGAAAATAATTACCTGGGAACTTAAAACAGATGAACTGTTTGAAGGCATAGACTTGAAACATAACACAAAATGCTTTCATAACTCTGTGTGGCTAATTTGGCCATCTTAGGATATCTAAAATGGCAGTAGATAGCCATGTATGTGCTCTCCGTGTGTCTGAGCCTAGACATTCACACTGGAAGTAGGCATTTTGTACAGCACAAATACTGTGAAAAATCTCAGTCCATTGCTTGAGGCATAGCTGCAGTGTTTTCTATGTACTACCAGTGGCTCCTGCTTTACCATAATCACATAGGATGGCGGTTTTGAACTTAGTTTTTATATATTTTTTATATTTATTATGTATTTTATATACCTTTTCATTCTCTTAAACGTCTTTAGTCTTCCCAGAGATACATAACTGATCCAAAATTTGGTGGTGCTTATAATCAAAGTACATTGTTAACAGGATGAATTTATGTCTTCAGTTAAATTGTCAATAAATTAACCTGTTCTATAGACCAGGTTGTGGTAGTGCTGCTTACTGAATTTATTGTTGTTTCCTCATAGTCTGTGTGTCTACTTTAATTCTTTACTTTGCATTTCAGTAAGCCTTTTCGATAGGAATCATCTGACTTTGCTTTCTTTTTTATTCGTATTACTTATGATGCTTTTCTACTTTTTCTTCTTACAGTTGGATAAAGCTCATTTTATTAGAGTCCGTTTTTTTTTCCTTAACTGTACTGGGACAGAACAGTCAAGAATAAAGATGGGAGAAACTTAAGGAGATCTTTTTTCATGTTCACTGGCTTGAAAGTTGCTGTCAATAGTCTGCTTTTCTTGGGCTTTGTCCTCAGTCTATATTTAATACATTCAGTTATGTTATGCTCTGAGGAATAGAAATGAGGGTGCATATAAAGAAGCTGTTTCCATTCTGGTATCTTCCAGCATATTTTGTCGTCCTGAAATAATCTGTGGTAATCAGTGTGGCTCTTCTGCAACAGACAGCACACATTTTTGGCATTTCAGGCAGATGAAGGAAAGAACTCCCCTGTTTGTGATTGTAGAAATTCTCGAATGTGTTTTATATCAAAAACTGCAAGTTAGCTTGAATGTACTAAATGAATAAAATACAGGAATTTAAGAAGTTTTTCTCTTTACAGGAATGTTTAGAATTGCATGGTGTGTTTCATGGATCAGCTTGTGGGCGTCACGGACCATATATTCCAGATGTTCTCTTCTGGTCTGTCATATTATTCTTTACAACATTTTTCCTCTCCTCTTTCCTTAAGCAATTCAAGACCAAACGCTATTTCCCAACTAAGGTAATTCTGATTAGACTATTTTTATCTTGTGATAAAAAATTAGTATAACTTAGAGGAGTTGAATTTTCTATTTAGCCTCAGAAATTTGTATTGTGAGATTTCTTTTAAGACAAAAAAACTCCAACCCAAAACAAATAATCCAAACTTTAAACAAGAAAATTAACTGATTATTCCAAAAATGAAGACATTAGAGGAAAGAAATTGGCCACAGAAGTTTCGGTGCTTATTCTCTAAATGTTATAAACATTAGAAGATCTAAAGCAGTCTGTTTCCCTGTATTGTTGGGTACTGCCCAGGTACCATTTGGAGAGATAATACTGCTGCTAGGTTTTCTTCATCTAGCTGTACAGAACAACTTATTGCTTTCCCCAAACTGTTGACATATGAAGGGTTCTGAGTAGTTCCTCAGGCGATTGCTATTTCTAATAGAGGCTAATATAATGATTATCCCTGGAGTGATTTACACAGCTTATTTCTGCTAGCCAGAATAAAGTGGTTAGATACTTTGTAAACCTCAGCCCATTCCTACAATGTGCTCCTAATGTTTAGTAAAGTCACCTCTGATAACCTTGCAAATTATCCCTCTCCTGTCATCAAATGTATGAATTTTGATTTGGGACAATTCAGTGCTGTGACTGAATCAAGCTACAAGACACTAGCTGTGATGGCCCAGCATCCTAGTAGGGTTGAAGGGACAGGAAGATGAGGAAGGAATTATTTTAAGTAATTCACTTCTTGCAGTAGGTCACTTTTAAATGAGGTAGTGGGATGAACAGTTGTAGAGAATACTTGCCTTCTGCAGCTTCATGCTGTTCTGGCAGGCAGCTTAAATTTCAAAATAAAAAGAGAAAGTATATTTCATGTTCAGTGGTGTAGTATAATATAAATAGACTTCACTTTTCACAGGGGAGAAAATTGTCTTTCTGTACACACAAATTACCATGATAAAAAAGCAAGAGTTAACACAAGTTGTTTCTTTATAGGTGCGTTCTACCATCAGTGACTTTGCAGTATTTCTGACCATAGTAATAATGGTTTTGATTGACTATCTCGTAGGAGTACCTTCTCCTAAGCTTCACGTTCCAGAGAAATTTGAAGTAAGAAATACAACCTTTTAAAAAACTTAACTTTTTAAATGCTTGTGGTTTTGTGGACAGTAGAACAGTAGAATTGTGTGGGAACAGAAATTTATCTTCTTTACTTACAAATTAGTTGATAAAGTAACTTCTCTTTTCTGTTCTGGATGTATGTCTCATCTGACAGAATAGACTATGCTTTATATTATAATATCACTAAAACAGAAGCATTCTTTTGTGCGAACATGCAAAAATGAAGGAGTGGAATGGATCCATATAGGTTTAATATTCACACATTACGGCTAAATCAGTCTTTTGGTCAAAGCTGTTGGAAAAAAATCAAATATTTAAAAGACTCTTGATTTGTTCATTTGTTGATTTGCAGCTGTTTGCAGCAATAAAATCTGCATTTTATTTTAGTAATTTCTTGTTGTGGATCTTTTTTAAGCCCACCCTAAAAGACCGAGGATGGTTCATGGATCCTCTTGGAAGCAATCCTTGGTGGACGCTTTTGATAGCTGCTGTTCCTGCATTACTCTGTACTATTCTCATTTTCATGGATCAACAAATAACAGCTGTCATTATAAACAGGAAAGAGCATAAGCTGAAGGTAAAAGTGATTTTCACAAAGCTCAAGTGTTGTGTAAGTCAAGTTTATTTTAAATCAGATTCACTCTGCAATTCTGTGAAATGTTGCGAACAGCTACTACATAAGTGGATATATTAACTAACAAAGAACAAATATTATTTTGTGGACACCCTCAAAGTATTTAACTTTTTTAGTAATCATTTGTTTACCAGCTGAGTTATAAATATTGTATCATAAATAGAAAGTTTATAAAATTATTTGTTTGCTTAATTTCACAGAAAGGCTGTGGCTATCATCTTGATCTGCTCATGGTTGGTGTTATGTTGGGGGTATGTTCTATCATGGGCTTACCGTGGTTTGTTGCTGCAACTGTCCTGTCTATAAGTCATGTTAACAGCCTGAAAGTTGAATCTGAATGCTCAGCACCAGGAGAGCAACCAAAGTTTTTGGGAATCCGGGAGCAGCGAGTGACAGGATTGATGATTTTTGTCCTGATGGGGTTGTCAGTGTTCATGACCTCGGTGTTAAAGGTAAAAGACAGTTGTCCCAAAATATTTTCTTTGTGCTTTTGATTTTGATATTTAGCATTTCATAATGTTACACAGTTTTATTATCTTAATTAAAACATACCTGGACTCATTCTCAATTTGCTTTCTTAACAGCAGATGTTAATTGAATAAAAACAGTGGGGGGTCATGTAAGAAAATGAAAGCTGAGCAAGCTAGAAATGTAGTGAGTAGTGAAGAGAGGTACCTTCTTCCATATTACCTGATTTTCTTGCCAACTATTCTTTAGTTTCTTTAGTTCCTTAAAATAGTTATCCTGTAGTTTTCAGAGCAGAAGTGATATAGCAGAAGAAACAAACCCATCTAGTTTAAAAAAGTGATCAGCAGAAATTACATTGTTCACTTCTCATTCTTCAGCTTATTAAATTTCCTTTGATGTTTGAAGTGTCAAGATTATCTTATTCATTGCCATGGTGTAATAGATTTTTCCAGTTGTATTGTGGTCTCAGTTTACACTTTTTCTCTTAATTTATATCTACAGTGCCCTTCCAAAGACTTCATTGGAACAAAAGCAGTCAGTTCAGTTGGCTTTTTGCTCAGATTTGAGTAAAATCCATTTAACTTCTACTTAGCTGTTTCAAAGCCAGTAGTTAAAAGAAGAAATGAAAAAAAAAAACCCACACCTTTTTGTTGCCAAAATAGTAGCTATTGCATAACTGCATCTACCTTTAAAGAATTTTGTAAAACTCTGTTCAAAGACAGGTCACAAGTCGTTCACAAAAAGGTAGCTTCTAATGACTATTTAAGTTTAGGTAATGGGAAGATGGAGACACAGCTATAGTTTAATAAGAGCTACATATGAATTCTGAATAGTTGACCATTGGTATGCTTTAAAGTATGTAAAGGTCTGAAAACAAAAAGGCATAGCAGTTATAAGCTGCTCAATGATGCATATGTTTTTTTCTATAAAGAAAGTCTCACCTTTTACAGAATTCACTTACTTAAAATACAAATTCAGAAGTAACCTGGTCAGTGTCTTTCACTAATATGGACTGCTGTGTTATGCCATGTTAATTCCACAAGTAACTGTGGATGTTTTTTCCTTCCCAGTTTATTCCAATGCCAGTTTTGTATGGTGTCTTTCTTTACATGGGAGTATCTTCATTAAAAGGCATTCAGGTAAAGTCTGATTTTAATGAGTGATTTGCTTTTATTTAGCACTAAATGACACATTGCTTTTTGTGAACAACAATTAAATCAGCCCATATTGTCTGAATAACATTTAGGATAATTTACTGTCATGTTCAGCTGTTTGTTCCTACAGTGTTGTTCCTTCACTTCTCACTTCTTTTGAATTTATTCTTTCAGTAGTGTAGCTGAGCAACAAATTTTCTGAAATAACGTGAACTTTTATAGTGGTAATGGCAGGGGAAGAAACACAACAAAACACAATGGCACCGATACCCACCCACTTGAATGAGTGTTTTATTTGGGATTAATTTACGTTTCTAGGGTCCCCTAAACATGTTTATTTCCTTCCGGAGGGGAAGAAAATAATTAACTGAAGGATGATTTTATTCTTCAATGCAGTTTTTTGACCGTATAAAACTGTTTGGGATGCCTGCCAAACATCAGCCTGACCTGATTTATCTACGTTATGTGCCACTCTGGAAAGTCCATATCTTTACAGTTGTTCAGCTCACTTGTCTAGTTCTGTTGTGGGTGATTAAAGCCTCTGCAGCTGCTGTTGTTTTCCCTATGATGGTAAGTTTTCTGTTTTACAAGTTAATTGTTTTACAAGAGTATGTGCATCATCCAGGATCTCTTCAAAATGTATTTGCTACTTTGAGAAAGAAGGGAGTGGGAAGGAAACAAAAGAACCTGTAATACAAGTTTTGTTCACTTTTGAAACACAAGGACTTTTCATTTCCTCATAATAAACAATGCAGTTGTGAATAGGTACTGAAGGTGGAAATTATTTAACTTCGTGGTAAGATAAAAGTAGTGCAATCAAAAAGGGCTTCAGTTAAAAATTCTGAATGTACTGAAAGTGTGTATGCATTTTTGTTCACTTAAATAGTGTAATATAAATGATTCCATTATGGTTCCCTTAAGGTTCTAGCTTTAGTGTTTGTTCGCAAGCTCATGGATTTATGTTTCACCAAAAGAGAGCTTAGCTGGCTTGATGATCTTATGCCAGAAAGTAAAAAGAAGAAAGAAGATGACAAAAAGAAAAAGGAGAAAGAAGTAAGTATGAAAACAATCAAACTAAGCATGTGTAAGTTGCTAGGAAATACTCAGTGAGACTTAAGAACTTTAAGTGGCCTGAGCATATGACTTTATATACCAAATACATACTTTGAAACTTTAACTAATGAGATTTAAGGCTTGAGGAACTATTACTAGCAATTAAGTTGAACAGTCAGTTTCAATGATGCTATTATGAACTATGACTCTTATTTGTGATTTAAATTAGCAAGCGAAGGCGAAAGAAGCAGTTTTTAGCACAAAATGTTGTTTACTTTGCCTTTCATCAGGTTAAAAGAAAAGGGAGAGGGAGAGAAAAGCAGTGGATTACGGATCTTTGCTAACATTAATCACAGAACTCTTCATATTAGGGACATCTTGCTCATGTATGTTTGCAGAGCTGTAGTTAAAATCAACTGCTAGTTATGAATACTATAGTAATATTGCTTGTATAACTTTTCCATAGAAGCCTCACTTAACTGTACACCATCTAAGTGAATTTCTCACAAAACTCATAACACCCTTCTTTCCCACTTCCCATCTCCCCTACCTGGATAAAACACTTCTAAGAAAAAAAGCCTTAAACTGTATCTTCTGCATTCAACCTCAGGACCTATGGGGAAATGGCCTTTACCCCTATGGGAATGAACTTCAGTATGAGATACTACTTTGATTTCTGCTTCTTAAGTAACTTTATACATTTTTTTACTTGGAATTTATAGGAAGCAGAGAGAATGCTTCAGACAGGGGACAATGAAAGTGTACATCTTGCATATGGAGAAGCGAACTTGGATTTTCCTGTAAAAAAACTAAAATACAGGTATAATAAAAATGTTGGTCTTTTAAGAGTTTTGTATCATATGCTGTAATCACTTTATAGTAAGTTGATTGTATATGAGTTGGATTTTTTTTTTTTTCCCTAAGCTTCTAACTCAGCCATGATTAGGAAGTATAAAGGTTTATCTTATGGTGCAGTAGTAGCATTTTTGTGTTGTTGTGTTGTTCTTTCAAACTGCATCTTAATTGTAAATTTACATGACCATCCTGAACAGATCAGATGACTCAATTTCGACCAGCTGTACTCAAGTCGAAGAAGCTTCCTTGGTCAGTTTTTGTGGAATACTTGTGTGTTGCTGTGCATGAAATACTGAGTATTAAGCAACTAATAGCATCAGTTGAGCCATGTGTTTACCAGCCACTAGGATTTTTCAGAAAGTCTTAAGTGTGCAGTTCTTTGATGGTTTATTTAAATGAGGGCTGAAGTCTGTAATTTCTGTGATATAAAAAAGCCCCACCTTTACAGACAGCTGTTTTTAGTTAGAGGTCATTTTCTGAAAGTAAATGTGAGGACAGGGTTACTGGTTTGCTTCCAGAAATAGAAATGCTGGAGTTTCATTGATGGCAAGTTCCTTCAGCACACAGATGTACATACCTACCTTACTGCTTTATGGGGTGGTCTGTAACAGACGCCTACCAGGATATCTGCTTGGTTGGCCTTCCCCCGATCTTCACCCACATTCAACCTTCTCACTTACAACACTGAATTGCAGGTAGTTGATGCACTCCCTGACATACAGTGCATCCCCACAACCTCTCTTTCCTTGCCTGTCCCTTCTGAAGAGCCTGTAGCCATCCACTGCAGCACTCCACTCATGTGAATCAGCTTAGTTGTCGCATATTCTACAGCAGTTCAACACAGCCAGAAGATGTGACAGATAGCTTGCCAGCTTTTTTTGCCTCTCTAATACTAAGGGTTCCTAGGTTGAAAATATGCTTTCCTACAGATCTAGAGTACTATCAGTTCTACCTTGATCCAAGTTGGGAACAAGCAGATTTTTTGATTTAGATACACATTCCTGCCAAGTGCTTTTGTTTACTCTAGGAGTAGGCTTAATCAGACTTTAGCAACTCAAAATGATAAATGCTAAAGCTTTTGAGCTGCTAATTGCTCTCTCTGTAGTGCGTGTATTTGCTATATATTTCACTGTCTTGCATCTTGTGGGGATTCCTTTAGGAAAACATGGCTTTGAAACATTTCTGTGCAGTTTCAAGAACTCTTACAGATAACCCTCGTGTACATTCTGAAGTTTAAATATGGAACAAACCAGAAAACATATCTACAGACAACATCTAAGTTCACTGTACACATAAATGTGTGGAGGGCAAAGGGAGAAATAGGTTTTGAAAGCTTACCATATGTGAAGGTCAACTTCTGTAGGGCTTGGGGGTTAGTGGCAAAAAAACCTAGAAAAATAATAAGACAGTGCAGGGAAAAAAGAAAACCAACTTGAAATTTGTCTAGATATTTGGCGTTAATTTTTACTAGTTTGAAATCTCAACTGAGTCACCAGTTTCAAAATGTTAACATCTGCTTCTTTGCCCTTGATTATTTTCTGAGAGCAACTTAAAAAGATTCTGATTTATAAAAGCAGAATAGTGTGCTTAAGTTCATTTTTTCTGAGCATGTTAACTATTTTTCTGAAGTTACTTCATTTCTAAATCATCTGTGCTTCAAGTATTCTCAATCTTAGTGATACCTATGTGAAAAACTGTTTCAAGATACTCTGTGATTAAGGCAGTGCTAGTGAGTTAACTTTTCACATTTTTCTTCAAATGCATTAGTAATACATGAACTCAACTTGTGGCTGTGTAAATATTGAAAGAAGGCACAATTGATGTAAGTGATGAGTGCTAGTAAGTATAATGCTGTTGCAAGGTATGGAATACTAACGAGAAAGTATGTTTGTTCTTTAGCACTGATCCCTCAATTGTAAACATATCAGATGAAATGGCCAAAACTGCACAGTGGAAGGCTCTTGCCATGAGTACTGAGAGTGCCAAAGTAACCAGAGCTAACCTGAGGTAGCTATAATTACTCACGGGTTTTCTAACTATGGTCTTCTGTTTAGCAGCTAATAGCTGTACTTGTATTTCTTGAAATGTGTCTCCAAAAAAATGAGCATTCGTGGTTTGTAAGTCTGCATTGACTTATTACTTTTGAGGAACTTGAATTTATTTTTTGCTCTTTACTCTGAAGTGAAACAATTTCTATAACAAATTCCAAGTATTTTATTAAATGTATTATTGCAATTTTAAAGTTACTCTATGTGCTTAATGCAACTGTATGCTACTCTAAATGGCATAGGGTTTCTAAAAGTTTTACTAGAGTGTACCTGAGCATGGGAATTGTTTGATCTTGAACATAAAAAATACCAGTGGGAATAAAAGGTAAGTCCAGAACTTCCAATGTTGCTTTATGCCACCTGGTTTTTGTGAGTGAGTTGGTTGTTTGGCTTATTTTTCCCCAGTCACTGTCTGGCTGATCTGTCAAGGGGAACAAAGCAAATCCTGAATATTTGTGGAATATCTGCAGCTTCCTCAAAGGCTTGTAGTTTATAGGGGCTGGTGTCTCTGGACTGTTTCATCACAATGCATCTATTGCTTAGTAGTTTTTATGTAGGAAAAAGGGGAGAATGCCCCCCCATGACTCTGAAAAATAAGCTTATGCAATCCTTTCATGCATCTTTTCTTGGTTGATCCCTTTCAGCCAAGTCTGTCAAAGGAAGACAGGTTTCAGAGATATGAAATTGGCAAGTTTTGTGGAAAATTACATCTCGGTGGGAGAGTTGGTTTTAAGGGAGTGTTCATACGTAATTGAGCTATCGGGTACCATTGAGCTTGCGTCATGGAAACAGCAGTAGTGACTGGTCATTTAGTCACTTGTATACCATCTGTTTATTCATCACATGCGTTGCTCCAACTTCATTTTGCCCAGCAGTAGGTCACCCAAAGGTAAAGAAGAAAACAAGGAGACCTGTCTGACCTGTCTGCAGTATTTTTTGATCTACTCAGTATGCCATCTGTTCTTTTATATTTTGCTGTAAGACACATCCCTTTGATTCCATCCCATGCTCACCTTGAGATTAGTATGGTAAAAATTGTATCTTGGGAAGGAACTTGCTAAAACTACAAACAGAGAATAAAAACCACTGGTGCTAAAACCCAGCTCTTTCAAGAGGCAACCTGATACTGCATGAATCTGGAAAATGTTAAGGCACCAGGACTTCCCTGAGCGTTAACTCGATTGGTTTCTGTTCTGAGGCATTTGCAACCCTTTCTTGTATAGTGGGTGCTGGAGAAATCTAGGGATGTTGTCACTGCTCAGTCTGAAGCAATTCCCAGTAATTTTTTCATCTCAGTTCTTTTAAGGTTAATTTGAGTAACAGTCTTCATCTGATAATAAGGATAGATGCTTAGTGCTATAGTAAAAATGGTTCTTTAGGTACTGCTGTCTTCAGATATATAGGTTTCAAATAAGATGTAGTTTGAAGCAGGTGGTGTCTTTTGGAATCCTAGACAACCCATTGTGGGGGTTGGTGTTATTTCTTAAAAATCTTACCTTTTTATAAAAGTACATATTTTAGATCTTTTTTGTCTTAAACTGATCCAGATTGCTTTTTCTTATTCCCTCCACCATCTCTAATATTTTACAGCTTCTGTGGTGTCCAGGTACGCTTACTAAGGAATTTTTTCTTAGGTATTTTATTAAGGTACATTTTGTAAGAAATCACAGAATTTTTCTTCTTGCATTAATTTCTAACACATATTTTTTTTTCCTTAAAGAGGAGGTGCATGCATGTGTCATCTCTTCTAAAATTCACACCTAGAGAATCCTTTCTCTTCCTCTGGTCCAGTTTCTCTTCTACTGTCCTCTAACTACCTCAGGATATTCCTTTCTGTCCTTGGATAAGCCAATCTCGGTGGCTGTGCCCCTAAAGAGTGTCAGTGCTTCAGGTGACAGCCAGCCCATTGTCATTAGGGTCTTCCCCTTGAACAGACACTCATGCAGATTTCTGACTGTTACTACAAGTGTGGTTTCCCATTTTGAAAAGACTGTAATGTTTTCCCAGTCTTGTATTGTGAATAGAATTGCTTCCCTGCCCAGTAATTAAGCAATATTAATAAGAATGCCTGTTATGTATTTTTGAGTATTTTTTAACTAGACGGTTTTGTTTGGTTTAAGAAGTTTTGCAAACCACTTTCAAATCACTAGAATCTGTCAAAGCAGTGAGGCTGGAAATGGGTATCTAGATGAGATATTGGTGTTTTCTCTCTAAGCTTGTACTGTTCTGTGAATAGTATTTAACCGTTACTAGAATGCAATAGAAATGCATTGTCATCAAACTGTCCTTACGTAAATACTTTTCAGTGTTCATTGTGAAGTATAAAATATTTGAAAGCTAATGTTTACTGGTGAACCAAACCTTACCTTTTCCTCTTTGCTTTCAAACAGCCCTGAAAAAACAGAAAGTGTGAAAATAAATGTGGAAGATTCACCTGTTGTGAAATACGTGGATGCCGAAACATCTTTATAGAAGTGAACCAAGGGGAATTGCATATATTTGTGTGTGTATATATGTAGCTGTAGGATATTATACTGTGGAAGTGTGATTTCCAGTTTAAGGAGCGTCATATATTTAATTCTGCCATTGTTTAGGGCACTGTAGATATGCTTGCATAATGAGAAGGTTTTCCTACAAGTAAGTGGTAATCACACTTCATCTATTTATTTTACTGGAAATTTTATTTTCATTTTTAAATAGGAAGATTGTAATGGATGCGTATTCTTTTCAATAATCAATATGTGCATAGAAGTTAAATCAGCTTTTGCTGATGATTACTGGTCCACATTGCTTAAAATTTTGCAATACCTCTGTTTATAATGTGTGCTACAGAAGTTTGTTCTCCATGCAGGCAGTTACTGCTTTTTTTGCAGGGTATCCTTTTTTTTGTGATTTCATAGAACAAATATTAATGTGCTGTTGACAAGAACTACTGTGTTTTATGTCTCTACTACATGCTAGTGTTTTCTGGATTCTGTCTCTCCTGTTTTACAGAAGTGGCCTAGAGCCCTAAGTCAGGTTAGTTAAGCCTTAAGATAGATATAGATAGATACAGATATATATATATATACACACACACACATATATATATATATAAAAATACCCTCTTCCACTACTTTTTTTCTTCCTTTTAAATTCACTCTTGATTTCTCATTATTATCCAGTAGCAGAATGAGTGCAGTAATTTTAGTTACAGTCCCAAGTCAGTATTTATCATTCTGGACACTCCATGTTTACATGATACAGACGGCAATTTGGTCTCTAGGAAGTTACACAGGCTTACCATACTATTTCTCTTCGAGTCTTTTATTCCTGTTGGTACTTATTTTTTCTGTAACAGTTTGATTTACTCAGCTCCAAGACTGAAAACTTGGAGTATTTCATGTCATCATCAAATAGATTTCTTAATTTTTAATTTTATTGTGTATTTTACTAAATTACGTGTAGTTTAATTCTGTAATAAGTTTATGATCAGTATTATTTTATGGATTAGAAATTGCTTGTGGTATTTGTGTGTACAGTTCTGATCTTCTCCATTGTAAAGGGCATATATGATAGCACACCAACTTATTTTTTAAACATTTTATTTATTTTAATTAGTATAAACTTTTATCATGTGAGATGGAAAAGTAAATATTCATTTATTAAAGTAAATGGGATTGAGGGCTCACTGATAAAGATGCAGTTGTACTTGCATTTTCAGTTTCTAGTGTTCAGCATTATAATATTTGAAATAATGAGAATTTTATGTATAAACGAAAATCTTGATCAATTACCTGTGCAGTTTCCATTATTAATAGTTTTTTGCCTTACCCTTTAGGTTTTTTGCTTTAGTTTTTGAAATTATTTCTTTTACATTCTGAATTGCCACATAGTGGCTTTAATTCGAATCTGTGCTCATTTAAAATAAAGATACTGTTTGCTTAATTCTGCTTTTTGCAGAGTTGGGAATTTTATCATGGGCCACATGATAAAATTCTCAACAACTGAAAAAAGAGCTGATTCCGGAGGAGGGCAGAGTTCATCTGAAAATGCCACTTGAGGTGGAAGACAATTGGATTTTACAAAAATAAAACAATCAAAATAAGTAGAAACATTTAAAGATAGCATTTAAGTTACACAGACTGGTACCATTCCCTTTCAATGTAATATAATTAAGGTTTTTCTTTTTGACTTTTCCTTTTTTTATTTGGTTGAATTCTGAGAGGACAGTTTAAAGAAAGTAAATTATAGTGTTCAGCAATATGAATAATGGTATCCAGACTGTCATAACAAAGGCTCAGGTCAGTGGCAAAGCAAGTGAGGTCTGCATTACCAATTTCACCAGTCCTGTGTAAGGATCTCTATAGATGTTCCTTCATTCTTAGATGATAGCATAGCTTGTGCCTTAGCTTGAGTATGTGTGCTTTCAGAAAACACCCATGTTTTCCCTCTATTAAAACTGAGATTCAGTGAAACTAGCAGATGGTTTCACAAAACTTTCTGCATTATTTAAAAACAAACCAAAAACCAACCAACCCAAACCCAAACAAACAAAACTCAAAATAAATAAATATCCCAAAAAACCAAACAAAACAAATGCAACAGAATAAACCACATCTGCAGGTCCATTGTTGACTACTGAGTAGCTTTTGCTGCATCAAAGAGGGAAGATACTTTGGGCAATTTATGTAGTACTGTCCACAACACATTACTTTTGTTCTAGTCCTTCCAGTACTGTTTTACACTTCATGTACACAGTCCTGTAACAATTTATAAATACCCCAAAAATGACTGTAAGCCTCTTTGATTTTTCCATGTCTGGAATCAGGGTTCCTTGGTGCTGCACACGTTGTATCTGGCTTCTGCTTCAGAAGGGTTACGTGCTCGTCAATATTACAGGAAGTAGATATTTTTCTAGGAAAGCTGAATAGAAAAAACAAACAAAAAAAAAAAAAAACAAGCCAAAGCCCTACAAGTCTAATCACAGTATTTATTTAATTTTAATTGTGTAGATATTTTTTTATCAGTGCCAGAAATGCCGTGACTTGCAAAGCAGTTTACAGTGACCTTTAGTTCTGCTGTTCTTGGTCAGTAGTATGTTACAGTTGCACTTTTCCCCCTGTATAAATAGGAGAAGATCTGGTGTGAAGTGCATAAAACCCCGCTGATAATTTATGATTGACTGGCTACTCGTTCTACACCTTCTCTGCTTTAAAATCACACATAGTATTAAACAGCTAAGGACGTAGTTTAAGTAATGTTTGTTTTGCCTTAATAGATGCAAAAGAGCAGTGATAATTGCTGTGCACTGATTGTTTTTTCATAGGGGTTAAGCCCTGTATAAACTATGCCAATATATTTCCACTCCAACTGTCAGAGGAAAATAAACAGCCCTGCACTTTCTTTAGATGCCTTGATTTCCTGGAATGGAGCATAGTGCTACTGTGTGTCTGGCTGCAGAGCCTCCTCAGGAAGTCCCTCTTTTTCTTTCTCCTTTGTTTTTTTTTCTTTTCCTTTTTCTAATTTATTTATAAATATGAATGTTTACATAAAGTGTAGGTCTTAACCTTGACCACTCCATTTAAATTATCATCTAAAATATTTCACTTAAAATGCAGTCTCACGTTTAAATTATATTCTACAGAACTCATTTGTAGTATTTTCATATGTATTACAGTGACACACTTTTCATTCTGTTTACATATGCCCAAGTTAATTACACTTTCTCCTAGATTAATTTTGCAGCTACAACACAATATCTTCTATGATTGTTCAGTGAAATGTTCCAAATTGCCAAGTTTGTCATCATAAAGCCTGTTAGGGTAGAGTTTGTTGCCCCACTGGGGGTTTTTCTTTGTCTTGGATATTTTTTGCTACATTTAATGGAAATTCTCCTGTAAGTTCTTGCTTCTCCGTCTTTACATGGTCACTTTCTAATCTGTGCCCTTTGCAAAGGCAGGTTCGAAAGGCTGTAAGTTGGGTCTGTAACAAATAGGTGTTGTGTCGCAGAGCCTGCACCATTCTAAAGGGTTCTCTTGTACATACATTCTGTGCAGCGTGAGATGAGCGGTTCATGACTTTCAGTTCACCAATGTAGTGTGTTAGATGAGCACCACCATGACCTTAGTTTTCCTTCTGCTTTATATGATTAGTAATGTTTTAATTACTCATCTAGGTCAAATAATCATCAAGTACAGTACCAGTGTGTGAAATAACTTTGTGTATATCAACAGTAATTTATTGTACAGCAAATTTTAAGACTTAGAGGCACAAGGCTTTGAGTCAGCGTAAAAGTAGTGCTATAAATAAACCAAATTGTTTAATGATTTTGAGTTGATTTTATTTTGTATCATTTCGTGAAAACTCACTGGACTTTGTAGCTGGCATTGAAGTTAATCTAAAGACACTTTCATATTGAATTTAGTAACTGTTAACGTTTATTTGGAATAATGAGTTTGAAAATCAGTACTTTTCTAAATGATTTTATTGGCAAGACACATCATTTATACTATTTTTCTTTCTACTGTTGCTGATTCTCCTGAGCAAAGGTGTCTTCCAGTGTTCGGCATCTGTAGCTGAGCCACGTCTTTGATTTTAATACTGATTATTTGAAATGTGATTACATACTGTACGGTTCGAAGTTTTTATGACTGCTTTTCTAATTACAGTGATGTTTTCTTACTTCACAACAAAACCCAAAGCAGATGAAAACATCTCTCTGAACGCAGAATCGACATTGCGTTTATACAGGAAAAATGCAGCTCTCAGACGTGTCTTCAATGTGAAAGATCCAGCCTTTGTTGTTTTCATTACTGCTAGAATAAAATTATGTTTTGTAATGTTTCACAAAGTCGGTAAAAGCAATAAAAATCTACTGGACTTTATGTAGGCTGTGTCTGGTTTTGTTTTAGGTAGGTTATGTGCTAGGTGGGTGCTGTGGGGAGCAGTATGGGAAGCGGCCCCTGCGAGTAGAGCTGCGGCTGTTCTCTTCCGTTCTTATGGCAACGGCTGCCGCTATCGCTAGGATACGGCGTCGCTGTAGAACACGGCGGCATGCGATTGGCCGACGAGGCCATCTCTTCGAAGAACATGGGCTGCGATTGGCCCGCGGGGCGCGGTTTAGCTCCGGCGGCCGGAGCTGTGCCGCAGCCAGGCGAGGAGCAGGGCGAGCCGAGTGAGTGGGACGGGAGAGGGGGTCGGGGGGCTCTGGGAGGGGCTCGCAGCGCCTCTCTGCCCTCGCGGCAGATAAACCCACCGCGGGAGGGGAAGGGAGGGCGAAGGAGGTGGCAAGGTCAGGCTGCTGTCTTTTCATCGTGTCACTGCCTTGTCGCGTAGTTCCGCGTAGTCACGTACTCCGGCCCTGGTAAGGTTTCAGAGTCGGTGTTAAAGAAGTCAAAGCATAACGTAAGCGTGCACGTTGGTATAAAACACTTCGTGGAACCCAAGTGCTGAGTCAGGCCTGCTTAGTCACGGGTAAGGTGTGATAACTCCAGGGGATCTCTGTGCTTCTAAATGATGCCCTGTTGGTACAGTGTGCCGCCTGCCAAGAGTGCATCTCAGCCCGGATCGAGCCCAGCAAACTGGGAGTAGTGCCTCTAAAATAAGGGTTGCTTTGTCCCCATCTCTCCCCCACACCTAGTGACATCTTCCCCAGCCCTGCACCTTTGCCAGCTCTGAGCCTTCAGTAATAAACAGCCCCTTTTGATTTCCAGAGCCTCTAAGCCGTAGGGGTACAATTCCCTAGAAAGGTCTGCTTGGTGGCAAGGGCAGAAAGGATGGATTTCACATAGCTATGTATTATGGTTAAGTTGCCTCAGAGCTGCTCAGTAGACCTCAGAAATCCCTTTTTTTTATTCTCTTCCCTACATCTGTGATCTGCAGGTTAACGGTGAATTTGGGCAAATTAAAAGTTGGTTAGGCAGATAAAAGTTATGGTCTGGAAAATAGCCTAGAGACTTATATTGCATGGCTCCAGGAATCTGGGAATGGGCCTGGCCATTTATGGCTCCTCAGGAGCTGGGGTGGTGTAGAGGGAAAAAAAAACAAAACAAAATAAGCCCCAAACCAACAGTGACTTTTTTAATTTGTTAGGAAAACACAAATCTTCTGTTGGACCCTTGTTAATCCTGAGAGAATATTCAAGGAACTTGTCTCAAATTTAATTTTCTTCAATAAATTTGTGCATGTGGAAGATTTCAATTGTAGCAAACATGTAGATTTCCATAGTGATTCAGTCAATAAAATGAGTAAGAAATATTTGTCAAACATTGTATGGGTTCCTCAGTAGAATTTCCTAGACATGGGCTGTCATCAGTTCTGGCTGCTGTGCTCTCTGGGAACAAGAGGGGAAGTGGTCCAGGGTTCCCTTTGCTTTCATCAGACTGGAGAAGGAAAAATACCTTTTGGGAACTTTTCATCATCTCTGATGCTTCTTCTGCCATCATTTTGAGAGTATTTGAAATGCATTTCTATTTTGATGATAGTATACTGATAATATAATGGAGTGAATTTTCATCTAACTTCACTCCCAGCTTATGGTATTAGATACATTCCTTTCTAGCAACAGCATCAAAAGTCTGATTAAAGCCAAGATCTAGCATATCTACTGCTTCTTTATCCACTTTAAGCCAGTTAACCTTCTATGTATAATTATGTAGTGGAACTCAGGCACTGGAGGGATTAAGAGAGGAATTCAAGGGTAAAACAAGTTGGCTTACAAATGTCCATATCCAGTAGTTTTTGCTAATAAAAATTATAAAGGCTGTAAGACATCTTTTTGTTTACGGGAGTTTCAAACCATTACACTATAGTTTGTGGTGGTAGATTTACCCTCCAACATATCTTCCTGCTTTCATTTATTTGGGGTTTTTTGTTTTCCACCTTCTGAAGCTTTATGTGCTTGTGTCATCTAAGACAGACACTAGACTGGGCCACAGATCAAGTCTGTGGTGGTAATTCCTTTGTCTCCTGTTTCTCATCATAGGAATTCTTTCATTTCTGACAGGGTTCTTGGAGCATTTCTTGTCCTGTCCTGCATACCAGCACTATCAGAATGCATCTTTCTTTCTATTTAATTGAATTAACATAACTAATTAAATGAAATTATCCTCAGTTAAGATGAATTAGTTAATATTACTCTCATTTCATTGTTTTAAATGGAACTGAATAAGAGTTTATGATGTAAAGACATTTTCCTTTCAGTGTATTTCTTTTCTTTTAAAGATTTGTCTGATCTCAATCATTTTCTGGCACAACCTAAGTGAAATGTGAGTGTTGTTTGGTTTGTTTCTTATACATTACTCATGGCTGGTTTAATAGCTGAGGGAGAATTATGAGGATAGTTAATAGCCTGGCTCCGTGGAAATTTCTGCTGGCACAAGTAAAGAAGAAACACAGGGCTGGGAAGTTATTCAGTGATTTCAAGTAAGTCAAATAACTGTGGGAATAGGTAAGGAAATATTTAATGTCTGGTTTCTGTCAGGTTTATGGCTGATACAGGGAAAACAGGGGGTTGTTTCCTTTTGTCTGCCCCTCATTGGGGTGTGGTGCTAATACATGTACCTGATTTAATGACTGGCTACTGATGAAAGGGTTTTCTGCTCTTCTTCCTCTTATTTACAGCGGTGCATTCCTGCTCCTTGCCTTGTCAGCAGACATACGCATTAGGCCACACTAAAGTGATCTCAATTTGTAGAAAACTGACTCTACAAAGGGAGGCATGTTTTTTTCTGCCTAAGTTGGCTCAGGTTTGGGTCAAATCAGCTGAGGAACTGGCAGGTAGTGCCTGAGGATGGTAAGGGAAAGGAAAGGGGAAAGGATTTGTTGTTTTCACCAGCAGCTGCCTGTTGATAGATAGGTTTATCTCTGTAATAAAGCTGAAGGCAAAATACTAAGGTGCATGGATAAATGCTTCTTTCTGCTTGGTGTCCCTGCCCTTGTACAGTAGAACTACTTGGGGACAAGCTGTAAAGTAATCAGGATTAAAGTAGGAGAGATTATTTGTAACCTGAATCAGGTTTCCCAATCCAGTGTGCTGTGCCCCTGTGGTGACGCTGTGCTGACAGACCAAAGAGGTTGTGCATATTCCACCTGTGGCCAGGGCTGCCCTCTCTCTGTTGAAGATCTTCCTGAGATGTGCTGGCTTAGGAGCTTCTAGGAAATGGAAAGGTAGCCTCAGGATAAGTCTTCAGAGCAGGGTGAGGACTGCATCCTTGTGTCAACAGCATCCCTTCATCCTCATATAGCATGAAGAGAATTTGCCTTGGTGTTTGTCAGGTTCAATTGTGTACAGGGACATTTGGATCTGTAATGACAAAGAACCTTTATAATATTAGTCTTTTACTCTGTTTCATCTTTACCAAGATAATGCAAAGAGCAAAAGCTTTAGACTTGCGGCCCTAAAACAAGGTTGGCCTATAGCTGTAAGATGTTGTAAATAATCACAAAGACCTAACAGTTTTGGATTAAACTGTAGCCAGACTGGGAATCCTGCTGTTTAGTGGTTTAGAGGTTTCACCCAAGGATTATTTGTTTGTTCTTTCTTTTTAAATTTGATGCTGAAAATTTTTAGACTTAACTGTATTTGCTCATTGTTTTGTATGTGATCTTCATGATTCTTTAATTGGCTGAAATCTGTTCTTTATACACACGAGCAAGTTGATAATTTGTGAGTTTCACAATATTTTTTAGTGTGCAAATGTGAAGTGATTGCATTGTGTCACGCATCAGTAATATGCCAAATGGTTTGGGTTAGTAAGGGAGAGGATATGAAATACACATATTACTAAAACAATACATGGATTTTCTTAGTCTTGGATTCTTAAACATGCTTAGCAATGTACATGGCTTCTCTTTCACTGCTTTTGAAGCAAACGAAATAATTTAACATCATTTGCTTTAATCTGAACTGACTGGAAGAACCTTGTTTATATTAATTCCCTGGTGATAACTGGTACAACAGAAGTGTTCTGAGGTGTTTTTTAATAACCCTGTTATTGGGGGTGCATGGAGAAGAGAGGAGGAATTTCTTGGGAATCATTCTCTGTGGAGGGACTGCTGGTAGGATAAAGGCTAGTTCAGTAGAACAGAAATGGATAAACAGGATTTACAGGCCACTTACCAGAGTGAGTCAATGCTGTGCATGAGTTCATACTGTTAACAGTTTCATTCTGGGTAGTCCTGTGTCTGAGATAAGAACCTGTAATTGTGAAAATAACTTGATATTCAGTTGGGAAGCAGCAGCTTCTGGTACTTTACTATGCTTTTGTTTTCTGCCAGGTTTTGGTCTTTTTTGCCTTTATGAGGAAAAGGAATAAAAATCACTAGCAGAGGAATTCTACACTGCACAAAGAGAAAAGGAAGCTATCGTATTTCATATAGAAAATCCTATTAAAGTCACACCAAAGGGAACATTCATATGGTCCATGTTTAGCCAATAGTAAGATGGGTAGAAAGGATCTGTCAGTGGTATTTTATCACAAAATAATCACAAATTATATCTAATTTTTTAAACTGGAGGTGCTCTACCAATATGTTGCAGCTGTATGCAGTTCTCTGGGAGAATTCTTCAGCCCCAGACTGCTCCTGACCATCCTTTTTTCACTCAGAGCAGGATCTACATCAATACACTTGCTTTTGCGAAAGCAAGAAATTTCTCTTGACTATCCTCTTTCTATGTCTTTCTGTTTCTTTCTAGGGCTTTATAAGATTTTCAGTGAACAAATGTTTTATACTATGCAAACAACCGTCTGTGGCCTTTGGTGGGAAGTCAGACCTACAATTAAATGTTTGTCTGCAGTGGATCTGCTATGCAATAATGATCCTGATGAGGCTGGGCCATACAGCTCTGCTCATATGTGGAAATAAGCTGTGTGTCCCACTGCAGGAATAGCTGGGCACTGTTGATATAAGGCATTCACTTGAAAGTCAGAAGGCCCAGATTCCAAATGACTGAAACTTTATGTGGTTCTTTGATAGACCACATGATGTATTAATCTCTTTTGTTTTTACCCTCCATCTGTTTTGTTTATTTAGATGATAAAACCTGTAAGCACTGCTGTAGCATAAATAGCCAATCCACAGTGAGAAATAATGGTACTAAGATGGAAGAAGAGGAAGCGTCCTTATAAAGAATGCATACAGTAAAAAGAAAGCCAGTATTATCTACTTATTTTTGGGGACACCAAGGTTTCTGTTTGATAGCTTAATTATTTTCTTGTAAATATCTGGAATTCTAAAGGATATCCTCACGTAATGGCCAAGGGTTCATGTTAAGAAAATGATAAAGCTGTTTTTTTCTTAAAGTTATATCAGTCCATTCTGTAAATAAAACATGTTGCTTTTGCTGCAATGCTGCAATGATACAATTCTATCTCCTTTTTTTTTTTTTTTTTAAGGAAATGAGTTCTTAGCCACGTGATGGTAATAGTGATACACAATGCCTGATCAGGACAAAAAGCTGAAGGCCACATTAAAAGCAGCAGAGAAGAAACCTCATGGGATCTCTGTGAGGTATAGTATCTGACATCTTACTTTGAACTTCAGCAGGACCCAAGTGGAATTCACACTAGCTGCCAAAGCAGAATGCTTAATTTGAAATGCAGTATAAACATGACAACTGTTACTCTGGTCACAAAGTTTGTTTACGCATTTGTTGATTTAAGGCATTCTGGAGAAGCTCTAAATTCTTCTGTATGTAAAATGGGGCCACTAGGCAACACCAGAAAACTTTCTTTTCTGTCAGTAGCATTGCTGCTCATTAACTTTCTTTACACTTACAGAAGTACTTTTATGTGGCTATTAACACATGTATTTATGCTATTGTATTTCTAGGGATTATTCTGATCTTAAAAGACTTCAGTCTCTCTTAAATGTGCAGTTAAGGAACCAACAGGTATTTTCTAATAACTATTATTAAATGCTGTAGAATTGTATAATTAAAAGTAATGTTTTGTGGCAGATCCATAAGATACTGTTATTGTGTTCTATTGTGATTAAACATATTGACAAAATCTTGTGTAGTGGATGTCTTTCTTTTTGTTGTGTTTTTTTTTCCTCCAAGTTATTGCTTCTCTGTTGGACAAATCCCATTAAAAAGTGTGAAAGAAAGAAACTGACCTGCAGTCCATCCTGCTCTGCTATAGTTTTTATTTTAACAGAAAAAAATTGCTTTGTTCTGAATCTTGAGCAGGTTTTATCCAGCTATTATTACATATAGTCAAGTAGCCTAACAGATTAGTTTTCTTCCATGCCCTTCCACAATGTCATGAGAAGGTAGGCTGAGATGTGTTAGTTACAACGTGATGAAGACTGGTAAAGAATGTAAAATAAGATCAACATTTTGACAATAAACAGTTTATCTTTGGAGAAAAACACTCCAGCTAAAAACCTTTGGCATAAATATCAATGCATGAAACTTATAGGACACAGTAAAGTCTCCTTCACCTCAGCTCACGTAGTGAATCTTGTATTTGCCATTTGAAGCAGAGAAAACCAATGCGTGATGATGGGTGAGAGTCTTTGGTATACCAGAACATTTTCTCCCTTTCTAATCTGTAAAAGGTATGACAAGGTGACTTAGGAATTCAGCCATGTGAGACAGGAGTTATGTACTCCCTTCTTGGATAGAGGCATGGAATTGCTTCTTGGCAGAAAGCTGAAATGCTTGAGTTCTACAGCACTTTCTTAAAAAGAATATGAAGGCTATGCAATTGTAGAAGTAGGACAGGTAAGGAACACAGATAATGAGTATGTGTTGCAGATTCTATTGAGCTTTACTATTATAAATTTTAAAAGACACTTGTTCACATGTTATATATCTCCATGTTCTTGTTTTCTAGCCTTGCTCATCAGTTTTTTACCACATGAATTTTATTTTGCAGGGGGTGGTGGGATGTATTTTATAATGTCAAGTAATAGGTCCAAAGTTCAAGTCAGAACTTGAGAAAAGGTACTTTTGCTTGATAACATTCTTATAAAACTTAAAAAGCAGTGTTTGCCTCATGAGCAATATCCCTTTCATCCTTAGCTTCCAGCTATACATTTCGAAAACAGTCGAACCAGTGTGACAAGAGCTTGGCAAAATGTTAAAATCAGTGAACAAAAACCACATGGTCAATGGCTAGCATCAACAGAAGCTGTTCAGCTTGAAAACTTTAGGTAAAGAAAATAAAAAGCTAATATGATGGCACTTGTTATTTCTGAACATCTTCATGTGTCTAAAGCATGTTGCTGTGTTGAAGGCCGTTATACTTAGGTATGTTACTTCTACTTTCATGTTAACCCACTATCTGAGATATGAATTGCATATATTTAACTTTCTAAAGTTAACTGTGGATGTTCCTGCCTTTGTCAGCTTTGGACACATGCTCCTGCTTGGCAGATTGTACTGTTGAGAGCTAGTATAGTAATTTTTTAAAAAATAATGGTTTCCTTACTTGGAAAGCTTGTATTATACCATTATAATTGTCCCAAATTATGCACGAGATAGAATATTCTTTCATACTGTTAATATCTTGAAATCTGAAATGGTTTATTCTTTAGGAACTTCTGATATAACATTCCTAACGTTGCTAATGTCAAGTTTTGGCAATCTACAATCATCTTGTGGCAAGATAATCAGCAATTCAGCATTTTTTCCTCTTTTAAATCCTCATTAGTGTGACCTACAAGAATGAGAGGAATTTTAGCAAACATCCCAGCCATAAGCTGTTTCAAGAGATCTTTACATCTTTGGTGAAGAACCGACTTACCTGCAGGTCAGTATATTGAAAACATTGTTATACAAGGAGAGTCACTCTTTCTTGCAAAATTCAGATTCTCTCAAAATTCAGATAAGTTTATGCTACTGTTAATTTTTGTGTTTGTGCATATAACAGGATTAGAAAGGGAAAACCCTTTCTTCGGTATTCTCATTTGAGCAAGAAAAAAGTGAAGAACTTAAAAAAAATAGTGGGGACAGAAAAAGGTATTTTCTCGAAAAAAAAACCACCACCAAACAAGAAACCCAGAATTTCTTTTCCTACGCACCAGTGTGTTGTATTTTTCCTTTTTAAGCCCAAGCACACCTAAAAAACATCCCAAGTGGTACAGAAGCTTAAAGAAGCAATCCTGGAGCATTTAAAGGTATTAAAGTGTAACTGCCAGAATTTACAGAACCACCTAAAAAAACCTAAAACAAACCACATAGTTTGCTTAGACCCTTTTTCAGAACTAACTAGGGAACTACAGATCTCATCTTTGATTATCTAAATAGCAGTGAGTTTAAGCAACTTGTAAATCTGGTACCTCTTCTTTGCAACTGAACTTTATCATCTCAGTACCCTCTAAGGGGATGTCTGTGGCTCAGCTTAATTTGCAAAAAACCTAAGAATTCACATTGTATCCTCCCAAGTTCTATTTATACATTGTGGCATACCTAGCTCATATTTTGGTTTTTATTTTCTTTGGCACTTGCTGTTGATGATGGTGATACAGCAAAACCAGCCTCTTGTATTACAAATCAAAGCACTCGGGTAAAATCAGTGAAACAAATACTATTAGTAGGCACGTAAAACCTATAAGGTAAGTGCAGTTACTAAGATGATTTAGTTGCCTTTTGTAAATACTTTATTGTGATGATGTCCTTTCTTTGGAGATACTGCCATTGTATTGTGTCAGAGCCTTTGAAATTGTCACCTTATTTGCATGACATACTTCTGCTGGCATAACTGATGTTGGTTGGGGTGCAAGAAAATCACACCCGCTTGTGTCAGCAGAAGTCCTGATTGGAGTTAAGAAAGCTGTGATCAGCTCATTTTAAGTAATTTGGATAAGGAATATAACTAAGCAGGCAGAAAAAATCCTGATGACATATGCTTTACATACACTGGGGTATCTAGTAATGTGTACTGTAAATGTAACTGTAGCAGAAGAGACTCACAAATAACCATGCTCGGAGGATTACTGTCCCTGCTTGGAAATGTGACAGATGCATTGCTCTGTTAAAGAAACTAACTTCTGTCAAGAGTCAAAGCTTTTTGAAAGAATAAAGTTGTAGAACCACTGTGGTAATGATCTTCAGGCCACTTTAAAATCTGACTTACAAATTTTCCATACAGGTTGCTGTTTTCTTTCTGTGAGAGTTTTGCACCATTCTAAAGTGGCCAAGTAAGGAACCATACAAAAATGAAAAAAAGATAGTATTATTTTGGGCAGCATATCGGCATAGAAGGGCTGATATTTTGTTAGCGTGTATTTGTAAAACATTTATTTTTATCAAAATATTTTTAGCTATTGGCATTGCTCCCAATTGCAAATGATAAAAATGGAAGAGAACTGCCACATCACATAGACTTCTTCCAGTCCTTGGAAGCTCGCCCAGATACTACAGATTCTGTCCTCTTAGTTAAAACAACAACAGAAACAGCACCACCGAGATGTCCAATTTTATGTTTATTTTAAATAGGAAAATGGGACTATACATCTTCAAGAGACAATGGAAGTAGTGGTTCTGTTACTGGTATTTTATGCAGGTTTACTGCCCCTGGATGCTTTGTGCAAATCTGAGTTGTGTTTTCTGCCAAGGCTTGTGCTGAGGAATTGTGTGGAGAAATATAAAGGAGGAAGTTTTATTTGGAAGCATAATACCATACCAGGGGCATTTGAACTAAATAAATTATTCCAAGGACTAATAGTATTAATTTGTAATTGCCCAGGATAGATTACAATAATTAAATAAAATATTTCAAATCTTGCTATTTTTATTTCTGTAGCACCCATATTTTTATGTACGTGTATTTTGTGCACTGAAGTTTGGTATGTGGTTTCTTGGTGATTTTGTCTTTTTGGGCTTTGGTCCAAAGACTTAAAGTAAGTTTATATCAAAGCATGATCAGTTTGTGCATGTACTTTCCTGCATTAGGTCAGTGACAAAAAATGATGGCCTGGCAATGGTCATATAATGAAATAAGTTTATTTAAAGCTGTTACTATGTTTTAATAGAAGTGGTATTAAAGGTTCTATGGTATAGTATGTTGTACTATACTATAGTACAACTGTTGTAAGTCACTTGCCTTCTAGTCAATTCCTGAAATCAAAGTGGTTTTTTGACATGTTTTAACACTTAAAATGCATTTGGTTTACGTGTGGAATATTTCTTTTACAGGGAATGGGTTAATCAAGCTTCGTCCATCCATTTTCTTAGAGTATTAATCTGTCTGAGATTATTAATAAGGGATCCATGCTATCAGGTCAGTATACCAAAATACTGTTTCTTGCTTGGATAAAAGAATGCACATAAGCATCATGCATGTGACTTGTGTTGTTGCATGTGTATAAAAATGTATGTTCTTATACACATGTACCTATATTCCTATACGTGAGGAAGTGATTTGCAAACAAACAGATTACAAGAGTGAATTTGCACTGTTACTGAATAGCTTGCTCAAGTTCTTATATTCCTTATGTAGGGCCTGTTGTTGATAACCTTAACAAAGAACCTGTAAATCTCTATAACAGATGGCTTGGTCATTGCTTTGAGCCTTAAACCCTGTGCTTGACTTTAACATGTAGATATGTAAAATTCTCATAATATAATAAGTTAAGAAAACTGAAAGCTGCCTATTCCTCCTAGCTGCCTGATGTTCTTAACTAAAACCAAATAGCTTTCAATTTTATTCTGGCTATTATAGTCACTATTCATAGGACTAAGCCTCAGACATCTGTTAAGATATTTGTGTATTTTTTTCTATGTGTTCCAAAGTTTATACTGTTTTCCCAGTTTTAAAACCTTTAAAACTTAACTTCTGTGTTTTTATTTATCTACTTACTCTAAAATATTCTGAACTCTGAAGGTGCTACGTATCTCCAGAATTCATTGACTTCAAGCACTGGAATTAAGGTTTCGCAACATTCATAACAAGCAGAGCATTTATGTTCTAGTGTTCTTTCATTCTAGTGTTTTCTTTATTTTTGCCTTTTTTTATAATTTTTAAAATTTTTTTTTTCTTTTTTATTAGGAAATGCTCCACAGCTTGGGTGCTATTGAAAATCTAGCTCAGGTAGAGTTCCTCATGGTACTTTTGTCTGGTATGTTGCATGTCAGATCATTACAGTGTACATAAATTCTTGGTTTATGGAAAGAAGTGAGTCCATTCCTCTGCACGTAATCAGTTGATGTGGGGGTTTTCTTTTCACTAGTGTACAAAGAAACTGTCCTTATAATATAGCAGTATTAACCCAGGTCTTTTAGTTAAGAGACTTAAATCCCTCCTGAAGTGGGAGGAGAATTAGAAAAATCAGCACAATTGTTTCAATCAGGAGAAAAGAAGGATGAGTAAAGTCACCTTGAACTGTAGCAAATGATTTTTCAAAAGTAAAAGTATAGTAATATAATGTTGAAACAGGTTTAAATTTGGGGGCTACAGCACTTTTGCATTACGAATCATGATTGTTACTGCTCTGTGTTAATACTGCTTTGCTTCTTGGTTTCTAATACTTATCAGTGCCAAGTTAGCAGTGAGATTTGACATACCATGAATATCTTTGAAATTCTTTGGAGTTCTCTTTCTAGAAAAAAATTATTTGCTGTAATCTTTATAACAAATGTGTCACTCTAGAATGTAGTCATCATTCATCAATATTTATGAAGCCACCTGTATTTCAGAGAGCCCATAGTGCATTTTCAGCCCTTTGGTCAGATAGTCACCTGTTTGAAACATCCCTAAAGTTGCAGGAGTTAAAGGTTACTATTTTGTAATGGATATGGTTCCCACAGGAACTGCTTGGCATTTCCAATGTTGCATGTCATTAATGGTTAGCCGTACTTTTTGAGGAGCTTGCAGACTGCAAAATGCAGCAGCCTGCTGAGACATGGCAACATCTGTAAGTGTCATCCCCAGCAGCAGGAACTCAAATTGTGTAATTTATAATCATTTTTACTATGCATGTGTTGCTGGCATAGAGAATTTAAAAAGACATGAGGTGCAATTTTTATGATTTCTGAACTTGTAGGGAACTTAGTCTATTCTATGCAGCATGAAAACTTTTTTTTTTTTTTTTTTTACTTTTTGGGCAGTTTCAGATAAAAAAAGCTGTACTCATTTTAAAGTGTTTTGGGATGTTTTAGTAGAAAACGTGAGTTATTACTACCAATATTACTTTGCATACTAGTATCCAGCTCCTGAGCTTTCTTTCTAAATTATGTGCTGCTGCTGTAGCTCTTGCCTCTCTGTACCATTTACTTGGAACTGTGGCAATTTCCCCAGTGTGCTGGAAATTTCAAAATGCCACCATATGTAAGACCAATACATAAGTGATGCTGAGAATTACATAATGATTTTGTGCACTAACAAACATGACATACTTGTGGTAATTCTCATTTCCTGGAAAATATGTTTGACCAGGAAGTTCTTAGGGTTATTAAAAAAGATTGACCACCATTTCCCACCAGTTAGCTATGTTCAAAATATTTTCCCAACAGTGCCCAACAGTAGATGCTAAGGGAAAATTTTGAGAGCAGAAACATGAACTGATAATTTGCCAGAAAACTCTTACCAACCTGTAGCAGCTTGCAAAGAAGGGAATTTGGCCCCAGAAGTAGGGTCATTGTATTCGATAGTCTTCAGTAGATCTCCCTGTTGTGGAATTTTACACTTGCTATTTGAATTCTCATGCTTCCGTGATCTCTACTGTTCCCTGACAAGTTCTACAGCGAAGTATGCAGGATGTTTCAGGTTTACCTTTCTTTTTGTGAAACTGATGCACCACCTACAGGCTATTTCCGTGGATTACACTCCAGGTTTATGAATTCTTTGTTTTTCCCCCCCTACTCGTAGTATATGGAAACAGTAGCAAATGGCTATCTTGATTACGGAGAAGAGCAGCATAATGTAGACAAGTTGGTCAACATGACATGTAAGTGTTAAATTATAAGGACACTTAAAACTTTTTGTGTGAGGCTTAAAAGGTTTAAAATACTTGAGATGGTCACTACGTAGAATGTTATTAGATTTACTGTAGACATCATCAAACGAGTGAAAACTGAAATTGCTGTGGAAAAGCACATCTTGGTTTTATACATAAGAAGTATTTCATTAAGAAATTAGTGCCTTTTTATGCACTGAAATAACAGAGTAAAATGAGCTGGTCATGGTTCAAAGAATTTATGCAGTGTTTTACTTTATTATCTGATTGGTAAAATGAAAAATATTAAGTGGTAAAACTTCAATTGATGTGACTTCCTTTGTTCCATAGACATTTTCCAAAAGCTTGCTGCTGTTAACAGTCAAAGAGAATGGGTTATAGCAAGCAGAGCACATAAAGTAAGTGTTTCATAAAATTCTAATTATAACAAATTAACTACATAACTGAGTGACTAATGCTTTTCAAACTTGATCTAGTTGAGAGTAAATTTCTTACCTTGTCAAGCTTGTAAAGTAAGATAATCTCAGTTCTATGTTTTACAGAAATATGAGTAGTAATAGTTTTTTCTATGTAAGCTAATTGCCCTGATGCATGGTTATTGGTTGCTTGAGATAGATATGTCACAAATGTTTGGACTAAACTCCTTCATATAAAAATTAGTACTCATATTTACACTGTCCTGAGCTACTCATTACTATGATACAAATAGTTTTATATATTTTAAAAATATAAATACATTTTTATTTTTACATAGATTTCTGCTATGATTTTTCAATTATGAAGTGTTCTGTGTCCAAATGGAATAGTGACAACCTAGGCATCCCTTCACATTACTCTCGGTCTAAGGATCTATAATTAATCGTTGCTGATTTGTGGCCAAGCTAAGAAACAATAGAGATGAAGATCAGCTAACTAGTGCTTTGTGATTCCGTTATTCTCCAGTAAAACATTGGCAGTTGTGATCAGATAATACCGCAGAACATATTTTTAGAGAATCTAAACAAATATGAAGTTTACTTTGATATGAACCATTGACAGAATATAATGCAGAACCTTAAATTACATACAATATTGTTTAAATATAAGCTAAAAATCAACTTTTTGCTTCAGAAGGCCTTAATTTAGAGTTCCATGGTCTTTTACACAGGAAGAAATTTTTACAATGGCATATTAAGTTGGACAGATGCTTTAGCAGTCAAGAGAGATACTAATTGCATTTGAGAATAACCATCCTTGCTTGCCCTAAGACTGGGTGTATTCCAAGAGTTTAAATGTATATTAAAGTGTACTTTATATGTTCCTAAGATTTTTAGTATATTGTGCAACAATTTGGTATCTTAATTTGACTTTTCAATAAATAGTTATTTGTGTGCTTGAGTCGTAAAAGAAAATAATGTAATTTATATTTATTTATCTTGATTCATGTTTCATTTTCCAGACCTTGGTAAATTTGTTATCTGCCAGAGACAACAATGTGCTTTTAGGTGCCCTCCTTGCTCTGACTAGTCTAGCAGAAAGGTAGGTTCAACTCAGTGCTGTAGTTCACAATAAGCATTTTGATGTTATCTCTTGAACAATAGTAAAAGTGCTGTTTCTGAGGAAGACTTCTTTTTTCTTTTTCCTTCCAAAATGTGGCCTTGTTCTGTGGAGATCTATGACAAGTGCTTAATTTTGTACTAATGTAATAAAAACTAAAGAGAAGTCCTTGCAGAAAATTTCTTGCTCATGTGGAAGACTTTTAAAAGGCTGGAGTCATAGAACCTCTGTTTTCAATCCCTGTGCAGGATTCTGGAATTCTTACTGACTTCCTGAATATAAAAATCTTTTATGCTGACCTTAATACAACAGTGCCTCAGAATAACCAGCAAGAATGTTGTTCAATGTAGTAAATAATGAATGCATACACTCAAATCTGTGTATACGTGTCCTCTCTTCACTAATGGTTGTTTTTAAATAAAGAGTAGGACTTTTTTTTCCTGGTGTGGAGGGAAAAAAGTAAAAGGAAAATACAGCATCTTTCATGCTTAACAGTTTTATAGAAGAAAAGTTACGGCTTCTGCATTATTGTGCTGCTGACTTCCAGATTTCTACAACAATTTTATCTTTTAAATGAAAAATTATAAGGAAAATTACAAAATTAAAGAGCATACATACAATTCCTTGAGATCAGTAGGAATTTATTTATGAGATTTCACTGGATTTTCTCATTTCCTAAATTTCTTTCATTCTACTACAGTTCATTTTTTTTTTTTTAATATGAGTTTAATTTAAATGATGTTATACATTAATTTTTAACTTTCATTCAGCTTTCTTCAAAGAATTAAATGTGTTATATTTGAACTGGGCAGGAAAGTGTTTGGAGTATATTATAAATATTTATGTAAATTTGGTTGATTTAAAAAATTTCTAGTAAGAAACAAATGAAATGAACATTTGTGTCTTTAGTTTTATGCATTCACACTTACTTTTTTGTATTGGGAAAATTTGATATTGTTGCATGGTCACTCTTGACACAGCATATATTTATGCCTTTAAATATTTGTGTGTACAATATGATATTATTACTTAAGACTTGAGAAAAAAATAACTGATCAAATGTATAAGGAGGGATGCTAAAAAGCAATGTGTTTTTTTTTAAATACAATTTCATTTCATATAAATGCCAGGAATAATCACTTTGTAGTCCAGAATGTAGGGAGAAGATAAGTGAGCTCAGCATTGTTGAGAATTTGCTGGTGATATTGCGTGAATACGATTTGCTTTCTAAAAGGTGAGACTTCGCTTGTGGATTAATTGTTTTAAATTTATTTTAACTTTTTCGTTTAGGAACATGTTTATTTATAGGAATTATTTAATGTGCCACTTTAATATACTCAAGGTAAAGTTCTGGTGTTGTGTATTTTGAATCAGGTACTGATACAGCAAAATCTTTTCTAGTAGTTTTGTTACAAGCTGTGTCCTCTCTCTTCACTGATGGCCTACAGTGCAGTGCAAATAATTTGTGTTACCATAAAGTGATAGCAGGTGCTTTGGAGTGGTCACATCTCCTTTTTGCTCCTGGCAGACCTAAGCGATTAGATGGAAATCACACTGAATTCTGACAGCTCCTGGGATGCCCAATATAAACTAGTAAAAAAATTGCAAGACAAATAGCTGTTGCAGTTTATGGCAGAGGCTGGGTCAGACCCCACATCCCTTTAGTCAGAAAATCATAAAGGTTCCTTCAGTTCTTTAGGTAAGACTGCAAGCTGAGCATAGTGTATCTGCATTTCAGTAAGAAACCAAAAGACCCTCAGATTTGATAATACGTCATTTATTTATCACATTTAAAACTATTTCTTAAATTTCTGCTTAATCATTTCACACATGTAAATTATTTTACATATGACTAAAGATAAAGGAATTGAACATAGCAAAAGATTTTATTTAGTTTCTGAGTATGAAATTCTTTAGATTATATGTAAAACAAAAGTTTGCTATAAAATTGGAATTTGAATGTAAACAGGAAATGGATGATGTTCAATGCTACTTAAGAATAATCTTTAATATGTGAATCTGAATTGTTATGTTTCATCAAACACACATGCAGCTTTATTTGCTTCGGCTGTAAGTGGAAATCTCTAACCCTATTTCTAGGCAAAGTTCACCTTAATTGGGGTGAAGTTAATGAAAATCTTGTATAAAATTTTGAAATGATATATCCAATCCCCTTTCTAAACCTAGTATTCAAAACATACTAGAGAAGAATCACAATTATTTGTGGAATTATTCCAATTCCATAGACAGACTTTACAAGTCAATGCCATCAGTGCTCCTGGTAGCATTAATGCCATCAAGAAGGTGGTACCTCAGATGACTGCAGTCCACCTCCTGGCTGTGTATACTTGGCTGCCTATGCTGATAGCCAAACTCAGTGTAAATATAAATTTATCCCTCCTGAAAGTTGACCTTCTTTTTTATTTTTACAGTGTTTTTACAGTTTACTGTGACTTTAAGCAGTTTTCCTTAACTCCTTTGTTTTTTATTATTGTTATTATGGGAGGTCTCTGTTCTTTCTTCAACATTTGCTGTGGTTTTTTTCCCCCTTTGCTAACTGACAATATGAAGTAATGATGGAGTTATTGTTAAAAGTGCTTGATGATTTCTTTTTTTTTAGGCTTACAGCAGAGTTGTTACGTCTCCTCTGTGCAGAGTCACAGGTGAAAGAGCAAATAAGAATGTATGAGGGAGTTCCAGTCTTGCTCAGTTTACTCCATTCTGATCATATCAAACTTCTATGGAGTATAGTTTGGATTCTGGTACAGGTTTGTGAGGATCCTGAGACTAGTGTGGAAATCCGGATTTGGGGTGGAATCAAACAGCTCCTTCATATTTTACAGGGGTAGGTTTTCAGTCCTCAGCATTGTGGCAATTGCATGAGACTGTTTCATATTTTAAGATATATTTGACCAAGTGCTGTTATATCAAGTAGCATCTTTGTGTTGCTCAGCTGTATGTGATGTCTGCAGAAATTATGAAGCTATTTATAACATAATGAATAATTAGTGTTTTTTTTCAGCTATGCGTATTTCATTGTTATCTAAAATGGTTTTAATGTTTTCACTGTATAAACAATGAGTAATGATAAATGTCATTACTGCCTAATTAGATTTCCTATTAATCAGACACCTATTTCATGTGCTAGAATAGTGTATATAATTGATGAATGTGGTAAAGGAACTTTATGTTTAAAGGCTTGTTTGATTTTTCAAAGTGTATTAGCTGTTTTAGTGGAAAACCTCTAAATCTTTAGAACTTCAGAAACAGTTAACAAAGGTATGTTGTCTTTTTTTTACACTGCAATTTGTTTTGATTTTTTTCTTTCAGGGACAGAAATCTTGTTTCTGATTGCTCTTCAGTTGGAAGTCTATCCAGTGCAAATGCAGCAGGGAGAATACAATATTTTCATTTGTCAAATGATTTGAGTCCTGATGAGATGCAAGAAAATACTTTCTCCCTTCAAGCAGGTAGGTTTATATGGCCTAAACCTCTTTCTTGTGTGCACAAAGGTATTATAAATATTTCAAATTTGAAATGGTAAGATTTGATACCTGCTTTAGGGAGCAGGAGCACCAAGTCAGCTGTGTTTATTTCCAAATGTGCAATGCCAGCACATGTTTTCAAAAAGCACACATTTTCTAGAAAGAAGTAAAGGATGAAGTACTAATTACATAAAGATTTCTTTCACCTGTAAAAATATTCAAACATATATATATGTTTTCAATTCTGTAGCCTGAGATAATTTTTATTTCATCATATTTTTGCCTCTATTTAAATTTACTATGTGTCATGGTTCAAAACCAGCCGGTAACTCAGCACCATGAAGCTGCTCACTCACTCCCTCCTTCTGCCTCCCTGGGCAGGATAAAGAGAATCAAAAGTATGTAAAACCCAGCCTGACCTGAGTAGTGATCTGCCCTTCTGGGTAACTCCCCCCAGTTTATATACTGGGCATGACGTGCTGTGGTATGCAATATCCCTTTGGCTAGTTTGGGTCAGGTGTCCTGTCTCTGCTTCCTCCTGGCTTCTTGTGCCCCTCCTCACTGGCAGAGCATGAGACTGAAAAGTCCTTGGTTGAGGTAAGTGATACCAAGCAACAACTAAAACATCGGTGTGTTAAGGAGGAGGGGAGTGAATGTGCAGCTGGATGGGCATTTGGCCCTTAGCTAATGTTAACCCACCACACTATCTGAATGTCTGTTTGAATCTGGCCCTAAACATTACATCTGAATTTTTATTCTAGCCTGTTGTGCAGCAATTACTGAGCTGGTGCTCAATGAGACTAACTCTTACCAGGTTGTACAGGTAAGAAGAAGTTATTCAATTAAGTAAATCATTAGAGCTTATAATTTGACTTAATTGTTTTAATTTGTTGCCATAATTTGATTAACAAAATGCATTTGAAAGGTATTGGAAAATATGATTTTCTGTAACTTTAGTATCTCTGTTTCTATATACATTTGCACACAGAGACATAGGCAGAAGACACCAACATATGTATCTAGCTGTCTGGAAGAATAAACAGCCTTATTCAGACAAGGTTAATTTTGGCATCTCTTGCCATGCTCTTGCCATATTCAAAATACGAGTAAATAAGAGTAATAACGGAATTAACTGAGAAATAAAAATTCTGAATTTCATGAAGTTTATTAAAACAAAATCTGTGGAGCTTATATTGGCACGTTGTTGTTTCACAATTTGTCTTTTCCTCAGAGTATTTATTTCTGCCATAGCTTCTGCACTCTATCCCCAGGGTTGTGTTTCTAAACCTCATTTAAAATGTAATATTTAAATCAGCTAGAGCCTATGGTTCTGCAAACTGTTCTGAAAATCCTTGGTGTGTATTCCAGACATAGACAAAGACACACATATATAGGACATTAATATCAGTTCATAGCTGTAGCCAGCTCTCATACTTTAAATGTTGGTGATCAAAGCCTTCAAGTTAGCTTATAACCCAGTTAGAGGTATTCCTAGGGGAATCAAGAGAACAAAAAGCCTTATATATGACCAGGAAAGAAGTTCATATATATCAAAACTGTTGGTTCAGAGGAAAGGAATGGAAGTAAGTCTGGGGAAAATAAAAGGAAGTGTTTTCTGTATATCTTTAGCACTACAATTGCCAATAACCATACTCATTTAGACTTATTTAAACTGGGTAACTTTTGAAAATAATATAACTCCTGGAGGACTTGGGAAGTAAAAAGCTGGTTTTAATACAGTTTTTCTGCATTGCTGTAGCAGTGCATGACAATGGTGGTGTCAGTAAATGTCTTACAAATTGATGTGACAATATGCAGGCTGGAAAAATGTGTTCCAAGCCCAACTTCTCCCACTTATCCTGTTAAAAGACAATGATCTCCCCATTTGTCAAAACCCCAGTCAGTGCGCTCCTTTCAGGTCAGGACATAACTTCAAGCATGTTCATCTCAACTGGAGTTCCACCCTACAACAGTCTCTTTAATTTTAATCCTACTTCTTTCTCTGTGATAATGAAACTTTGAGAGTTGCATGATGAGTGAGATGAAGGAACTCAGGTTAAAAGCAGATAGATGAGGAAGATTTGCACCTCTTTCAGTTATGTGCTGAAAAAGTCAACCAATATGACCTCTAAAGGTTTATCTCATACAGTGGCAAAGTTAGCTTCTGCTGTGCCCTCTACCTGTTCATCCTGTGTTCTTTTTTCAACTTACAACTACAGGAGTAGTCTGCAGCAATTCTGGTATCAGGGCAGAATGTGTTTATGACTCAATGGCTCTACTGCACAGCCTGAAAGAGTTAGTTTAACTCTATCTTCATGGGTTGTTTAAGAAAGCATGTCAGGAACTGCAGCAGAGCCTCTGCAGAGCTGACACATTGTGCTGGTTCCCTTCAACTCAGCTAGAGAGAAGAGTAGTCTTCAACAAGGAACTTGTCAAGCAACTGGGAGCAATACTATAAATCTGCCAGTGCCCATCTATCAAGCCAACACAGTGGATACATTAATGGGGAAGACACATGGTTACATGAAATTGGAAGCTGAAATACAGGGTGGTTTTCACAAAATCCTACTGAAGGTACAGACATACTCCTCAGGCTATCAGTTCTGGTGTTTCTCCAGTTTCTATTTATTGAGACTGGATTTTTGGTCTCTGGCAATTCAAAATATCCACATGGTGACGGCAGATCTATCTATTGCTGCAATTCCTTCACCTCTAGAGACACAAATATTTCTTCATGATCTGTTTGCAAGCTGTCTTTCCAGTATCAGTTTGAATGTGATGATGACTTAATTCTTATATACATTTAAATCCTTTGAGCTTATAATTTAGGTGTGCTATAGGATGTTGAGAACTTGTCAGTTGGTATTAGCTTCTGATTTATCTGAAGTAACATTGTTTTTCCTTTGTGTGCTATGTATACATACTGACTTTTTTCTGTTTACAGGCAAATGGAATATATACAATAGCAAAGCTGATTTTGCCAAAGAAAGAAAGAAATGCTGAAAACGCGAATTTATTACAGGTAGCTCCCTGTATCCAATTATCATTGCATATTGAAAGCCCCAAACAGTCCCTGAGATTTTTCTTTTATTATTCTAAATTTATTTGAAAGTGCAGTAAAAAAAATAATCTTACTTAAAGGGTGGAAAAAATCCCAACAAAACAAAACCTGGAATAACGAATGTCCCAGGTTAAATAGTGACTCAATTTCTGGTGCTGCTTTCTGATCTACTTTGTTTCTGGCACTTCATATAGTGTAAAGGAAAATGAGTATTTTCCTTGTGATAGCCTTCCCACCACTTTTTCAGGCTGTACAGCATCAGAATTTCTTTTTAGTGTCTTGGTCTTCATTGAAAATCACTGTAGGTTTGACACTATACTAATATCTATTTCTTTCTGAAGAATCTTGCTGTTAAATAAAATACATGAAAACATCACATGAAGTAGAGCAAATTTAAATGTAGGATAAATACAGAGCTAATAAGTATGAGAATGGTTTTTGGGATTGCATAGCAATACCTCCATAAATGTACTGGTTTGTGTCAACTTAGGCTAAAGGTTATCAGTGGTAATTATCTGATAGCTCTTTTCCACCACCTGTGAAATTATGTTGGTGTCTAAGCTGTAGGAAAGTAGTGGTCTAGGGTTCAAGATTGAGCACAACTGCTGCTGCTCCAGTTGCCCTTCTCTGAGCAAGTGTGAGGTCCTTAGCACAGATGAATGCAGTCAGGTCCCTGTTTCTCACCTGCTCTTTGTTCAGGCGTAGCCCTAAACTAACAGGGCTAAATAGCTACTCACCTATTTTATCAGGTAGACATACCTGGATTGCAAGAAAAGGCATTTCCACAAACAGAAAAATAACTCATTGTAGTGACATCTTTCTCTTTCCAGTTCTAGATTAGGGTTGGAGTGCAGGTTCAGTGCAGCAGGTACCTTTCTTCTGCAGTGAGGTTTGATAGTGCATTTCAGTTAAATCAGCTTAAGGATGAGATGAATAAAAATCTCCTTAGATGCTAAGTGAAACTAACATGGAGTCTAATAAACTGGAGCATATGCTCATTACAGTTGCCTCATACAACTGCAAGGAGCTTAATTGTGCCTGCCGTGGTTTAGATTCCAACAGGATGTGTTGGAATTAAATCACAAAAGATAATAAGCAACTGTAGTTGTCTTAAATATTAAGCTGTGTGAATTAATAGTGGACTCAAAGGTCACATATGAAAACAAAATCTGTTTCAGGCAAACAATAAGAAATGTATTTTTTCACAAAAGCTTGTTCAGATTCTCACCCTGTTATCTGTATTGCCTTAATCATTGTTACTGCTGTGCAGTACAGCTGCAGCTATTGGAATACTCTTTTTTGAATTTCATAGGTATTTTTCTTAGAATTCTTGCAGTGCCAGTGTGGTTTCTTTACTGCTCCACTGTTTGTGTTTTCAATGATTAAATTTTCAGCTTCTTTCTGCCATAATTCCTTAGTGATCTTACTTCACTATTTTAAGGGTAACTGTGATATCAGTCATTTGTCCTGCATATGTACCATATATAAAAATCATTATGCCTTAACTGAAGCAAATTAACAAATGTTAATTATAAATCTAGTACACACACAGTACTAGAATGTTAACACCATATACAGAATGTTACTTATAAGTCATACGCTACTAGTATGAGAAAGATGAATATTAATCACTGTTTAAAATATCAATTTAATTTTTAATTTTTTATCATTTCCCTTCACTGATGGGCTTTCTACAGTAAGATCTATGTGTAGTCTCTAAAATGAAAGACTTTCAGGGTAGCAGCTATGGCCCAGATAGTCTGGTTTATTTTGTACAGCTAAGTTGTGGATGTGAGGCTCAGTGGAATGTTAGACATCATAACATCCCAGTCTTCTCTTGTGATGGGGAATATACTTTGGATTAAAAAAGAAACATTGCCTGTAAAAGAGACAGCTTTGTAGCAGCATTAACATACATTCCTTTTCTGTAAAATTTTAGGTATCCGGCTTCCTTCATCAGTAGCATTTGGACTTTATTTCCTTCATCTAATGCATTTTCTATATATTGAATTTTTTTTTTTTTTTTAACATGGGGATTAATTCTGCAGTTAGCACTAAGACACGGTTACCGTTGCCTAAATAGGGGTTATCACACTGGACTGTAGCAGTGTTTTAGTCACTGATGCAATAAAGTAATTCTAAACTATACTAGAGGCGTTTACTATTTGCATTGTTTCAGGTATCAATACCTTATTTCACTTTGGCTTACTTTATACCATCATCTTTGTTTGGTCAGCCATACATGTGCCATACTCTTGACTCTTGGTAAACAGGGTTAAAGATGAGTTGTGTAAAAGCATACTTACTTTACAAATAAAAAAAGATGACTAAGGCTTAAATGTTCCTCAGCCTGTTCTATAGCTTTAGTCACCCACTTTTTTTCTCCCCTCTCCCCCCTCCCCCTTTTTTTTGTTTTCCTGCTAAATGGCTCTGCCTACTTTTAAATTACAGGAAAAACTTAATACATTTTTACTCTCTTCATTATCAGGTTAGTATCATAATCTGTCTAGTCATTTAAGTACAAAGTTTACCACCATGTGAAAAGCCTTGACATTTATCAATGGCTTTTCCAATTATGTATAAATTTCTCATTAATTGAAGTATTTTCCTGCTGTAGTGTTACGCTTTCAGAGCCCTGAGATTTCTCTTCAGTATGGAAAGAAATCGGCATATCTTTAAAAGGTATGTTAACAAAATGTTTTGTGAAGCTCCTTTTAAGATAATTGTTCGAAAGTTGTAAATCCAATCAGAAAGACAAGTTTTTAAAATGTCATTTATTTTCAACCAGAAGAAATAGTAGAAATAGGGCAAATTCTGTCCTGCACAGAGTTTCAGTTCACCATTCCTGCATTGTATCAGTGAAAGCTACAAGGTATAGATGCTCAGTGAGGGGACTTCTATTGTATGCATACCCGAGAACCTAGCTCTTTAGGGGTTCCTACGTATTACAAGAAGGAACTCAGAAAAACTGACAGCAAGTATAACATAATATACTAGAAGAAAAAAAAACAAAACAACACAAAAATTACTGGAAACTTGGGAGTTGGATTGACTTTAAAAAGGCTTACATTTGTTTGGACAACTGGCATACAAATATCCAAACAATGGAGGCTGAAGTCTGACTTTTGATAGGTCCTTTAACTTCTGTGTATGTAATCATAGAATCACAAAATGTTTTGGTTTGGAAGGGCAGAGACACCTTCCACTGGACCTGGTTGCTCTGCATAGGTAAGCATAACTTCCAAACTTTTTTTTCCTTAGAATACCATCATTCCTATGTAATGTTAGAGGATTAATATCTGGATAGATCAGTAAAAATTAAGTGCATTATTTATCACGTTCTAAAGTAAGTTGAAATAATAAACACTGAAAAGTCTATGCTATACATTAATAGCCACTATACACTGTTTCTAAAGTAAATTAAAATATAAATCTTTGTAGACTTTTCCCTACTGACTTGTTTGAAATCTTCATTGATATTGGACATTATGTGCGTGATATCAGTGCTTATGAAGAGTTGGTATCAAAGCTAAATTTATTAAAGGTAAGTAAAAACCTCTGTAAAAAGCTATATTCTTTGCACTTTCTTAGCACAAGAAAGGCATGACATTCTTCTATTTATTTACTTGTAATTTAATTTATAACCAGGAAGATGAATTCAAGCAAATTGCTGAAAGTATTGAGAGCATGAATCAGAATAAGGCACCTACAAAACATATAGGCAATTATGCAGTTTTAGAGCACCTTGGCCGTGGAGCTTTTGGAAGTGTATATAAGGTAAACTTATCTTTTGGTATTAATTTACAGGTTTGAGGGGAGGAGTGGGTCTAATACTTCTTTTAGACAATACTGTTGTTCTGGTTTCAGCTGGGATAGAGTTAATTTTCTTTCCAGAAGCTGGTGCAGAGCTGTGTTTTGGCTTTAGTCTGGGAGCAATGCTGATAACACACCGATGTTTTAGTTGCTGCCCAGTCGCACTTACCCCAATCAAGGACTTTTTAGTCTCTCATGTTCTGCTAGTGAGGAGGGGCACAAGAAGCCAGGAGGAAGCAGGGACAGGACACCTGACCCAAACTAGCCAAAGGGGTATTCCATATCACAGCACGTTATGCCTGGTATATAAACTGGGGGGAGTTACCCGAAAGGAACAGACCACTTCTCGGGTCGGGCTGGGTGTCTGTCAGCAGGTGGTGAGAAATTGTTTCATGCATCACTGATGTTTACTTCTTTTTTCTTCTCCTTTCCCCTCATAGTTTTATATTCTCTCTCCTTGTTATTTCTCTTATCATTATTATTATTAATAGTATTATGTTCTACCTTAGTTACTGGACTGTTCTTTTCTCAACCTGTGGGGTTTACACTCTTTCGATTCTCCTCTCCATCCTGGCTGGAGGGGAGAAGTAGGGGGTGAGCAAATGGCTGCATGGTGCTTTGTTACTGGCTGGGCTTAAGCCATGACAGCCATCCTTTGAATTTCAGTAGGGGAATGCAGATGCAAAGATGCCTTTGTGGATCTGCTGTTAGTATTTGCTGTAATTTTTTTTTGCCCCCTCTTGTATTTGTAAGATTGATCGATGTATCTCTTAGGTTTCTTACTTCTCTTAATTCCTTTCTACAAACAGCATTTCTGTCTATTGCAGAGGTAAATAATCTGTGTAAAATTATAGAAATTCAAGCATGTTTTATCTGAAAGGCAATACTGGCCACAGATAATGTTACCTCAAACACAAAGTGTACTGCTTACCTGTACTATAGGATTCAGTTCATATAGCTAATCACATCATGTACAGAAAAAGCTAGGATTGTAACTTTTGTGAGTCAGGTTTGGCCTCTAATAACTGATCTGGTAGCCATAATAATATCCTTTCTATCTCCACCCTGTATTAAATTTACAAGGGTTTTGATTTTTTCACAGGTTAGAAAGTGTAATGGACAAAATCTCCTAGCAATGAAGGAAGTCAATTTACACAGTCCAGCATTTGGAAAGGACAAAAAAACCAGAGACAGCAGTGTAAAGAACATTGTCTCTGAATTAACCATCATCAAAGAGCAGGTATGTCTCATGAACTCTAGTTTCATGTGTGAGCATTCTGTTGTTAGCATTATTAACTGTGAATTCTTATATGAAAAGCTGCCTGGCAGAAAAGACCCTGGGGGTGTTGTCTGACCATTGGCTGACTCAGCTTGTGCCCAGGCAGCCAAGGCAGCCAACAGCATCCTGTTCTGTATCAGCAATAGCGTGGCAGCAGGGCCAGGGCAGTGATCATCTCCCTGTACTGGGCACTATTGAGGCTGCACCTCAAATCCTGTGTTCAGTTCTGGGCCTCTCACTGCAAGAGAGACATTGAGGTGCTGAAGAGAGTCCAGAGAAGGGCAATGGAGCTGGTGAAGGGCCTGGAGCAAGGTGTGATGAGGAACAGCTGAGGCAACTACGGGTGTTTAATCTGGAGAAAGGAAGGCTCAGGGGAGACTGTTTCGCTCCCTACAACTCCCTGAAAGGAGGTTGTAGTGAGGTGGGTGTTGATCTCTTCTCCCAAGTAAGAAGTGACAGGACAAGAGGTAACAGCCTCAAGTTGTGCCAGGAAGGGCTCAGGTTGGATATTAGGAAATATTTCTTCACCAAAAGGGCTGTCAAGCACTTGAACAGACTGCCCAAGAAAGTTGAGTCACCATCCCTAGAGGTATTTAAGAGACCTGTAGGTGTGGTGCTCAGGGACATATTTTAGTGGGACTTGTCAGTGCTAGGTTAATGGTTGGACTTGATGATCTTAAAAGGTCTTTTCCAACATAGTTGATTCTATGATTCTATATTGCAGTGCTTCCAGCTGCTGTTACTATTTTTGTCTGACCACTGCAGTATTGGCTCCTTTTACCTGAATGCTGTCAATTTGAAAACCTTCTTACTGTAGCATTAGCAGCAGAGCAGATGCCTGTTAGTAAAGATTCTTACTTCCTGTGTTGGTGGTATTTGAACTTTTCAGGGATTCTTTAAAATAAGATTGTGATAGAAAACGGATTTAATAAATTTAATAAATTCTGGAGCTTAAAATACAAGGAGAAGATGGGATTTTTTGTAATTGAAAATTAAAACCCCAGAGTGATCATTAGTGTTCTTAGGCTAAGAAAACCAATACTTTGATGCAGGTGTCATTGCAAACTCAAACTTCATTTACTCTTTCAATTATTAAGGGAAGAGTGGATAGGAATCATGCTGTATTTTCCTCCCGGTTGTTCTTGTAATGTGCAACACTTCTCTGTTTGGGATAATAATGAAGGTTTACTGCACTGCAGTTCATAGAAAAGTTTCTGGAATCCTTCATTCCAGTATGCAGCTAACCATTATGAATACTGTGCCATCAGTTCAACCATTCTAAACATCTACATTTCTTTCCTCATTGTAGCTTTATCATCCAAATGTTGTACGGTACTATAGAACGTTCTTGGAAAGTAAGTATAAATGCAGAGAATTACCACAGTATACATAATGAAGAAATAGAAATATAAAATGAAAACACAACTTGAAAGGAATGTGTCAAATTTCAGCAAGAAATGATAAAACTTTCTTCAAGAACTGCTACAGTTCAGACAGGCTTATATTCCTTTAAAACTGAAAAAGTTATGAGACATTACTAGTAAAACTAGATGCAATGTAAACATGTAGAAAGCATCATTCTCATCTGATAAAGAACCAAAATTTACACCTGGACTGCTATGTAGGGAGAAAAGCTATAGTGACTAGTTGAATGATATAGATTGCTCAGCCATATTGTTTAAATTTTCTTTTGTATAAAGACTTAGCTACATACATGTGCCCACTGAGTGATTTTCATGGAGTGAATTCCTTATAGTTGCTGTGATATAAACTGAGGGAAAAAAAAGAATAACAAGGAATAGAACTGTGATTAAATATATTCGCACAAGTTCTTTTTTAAAAGTAAAAAGAGCTTTTAAAATATATTTAAACCTCAAATATTCTATTGTCAAATGCCTTCTCTATAAATGTAATCTATTAATTCATTTTCTTTTATGTAGATGACAAGTTGTACATAGTCATGGAGCTCATAGAGGGAGTGCCATTGGGAGAGCATTTTCACTCTTTGAAAGAAAAGCAACAACACTTTACAGAAGACAGAATATGGCGTATATTTATCCAAGTAAGTGCCTCCATTCTTTTTGTTATCAGGACTTTTTTGCATGAAATTAGTAGCACCATTTATATTTGTTAGGCTAATAACTGACAAAATAATGTTTATTATATCAGGCACTAATATCAGATTTTAATTTAATTTAATGTGCCTTTATCTAGGTTGTAGTTAAGAATATTAATGAGGCCCTTTCTGTTTGTTTTTAAGCTTTGTCTAGCTCTTCGTTATTTGCATAAAGAGAAAAGGATTGTTCATCGAGATCTCACTCCAAACAATGTCATGCTGGGGGATAAAGACAAAGTTACAATTAGTAAGTAGAGCTATTTACTTAAAGAGAATTTCCCGTGATGCGTGTGAGTAGAATTTCTTCACTGAAACTCTCAGAGGTTTTCAGATTTCCAGGCATTGGTCGCCATACTTGGAAGCCAGTAAATTATTGCATTATTATACTGTTGTATAATTGCTAATGAAAATTTTGTGATCATTGTCACCAGGTGTCATCAGCCACAACTATATTTATTACAGACGTGTGTCAAAAAAGACAGAGATGATTTAGCCCTAAAAAAATAGACTATAGTTATGCTTCAAGGCCTGTTTTTATTTAAATCAGCAAGAACATCTAGATAATCAACTTCAGATAACAAGTCCTAGTGAACATACTAAAATATAACAACCATCTGTTCTATTCTAGTTGTACCATGAAATTGTTTAATATCCATCAGTTGTTCCCAGTGATCAGCTGCAATGAGCTGCTATTTGTCTAAGCTTGTGGTAGTGAATATTCTTGATGTATGTTCTAGAACCTCCAGAGGGTGGAGGAAGGACCCTAGGCAGGTCTCAGGGTAGGCTTTGAAAGCAGTATATGTGTGAACAGTACAAAATATGACAAAGTTTTACTCTTTGAGTGAAACAATGCAACCTGGTACACACAGCAAGCCCTACAGGCACTTCAGATACTATAATTTTTAAAGTTCTCAAAGCACTACTGCATGCTTTCTTACTGCTCATGACACAGAACTAAATAAACAATTTGAATACTGCTGAATTGTCGTGAGAAGTCTTTATACAGAAATCAATCTCTGTTCTTTAAAAATAACAGGGAAGTATAGTCATACTCACACACCCAACCAAAAAGCCATTTGGCTAAAATAGGCAAATATATTTAGCAACTGTTGTCTTATTGTAAGTATTTATAGCTGATGATACATGTACAAATTCATTTGTTATTAAATCGTATGTGCTAAAAACCTCTGATTCTTAGTGATAACACAGTTTTGAAAGAAGGTCATTTAATGGAGCACTTGTCCCTGAGTAATAGGATATTATTTAAAGGAAAATATCAAATTTTGTATGTATATCATATTTTGTATTTTGTATGAACAAACTGCCACTGAGGGGCACTCTTGTCCTGATTTAACACCTTAACATTGTCTCTGGCCCGGTCTATGTGTAAAGACGTGTAAATGTACTTTCAAATGTAAGCTCAAAATAGCTAATGAAAAGCATTTATATTTCTGTCAAAGATTTACAGAAGTTGATGAAACTGGAAGAACTGAAGCTTATTTTGATAATTTTGACAGTGATAGATTTAAAACTGTTGCAATATTTAAACAGTTTATTTAGTACTTTATTTATTACCAGCATGCATTGATAATTATATTCCACAGTATTTGAGAATTTCAGATGGTTCTAGATGAAAGTTAATATAAAATGTAAGATGATGCTGGAAGCGTATGCTCAAATATTGAGAAATCTTAAGTCTGCCTCTGCAGTGAGTTTAGCCTGTCAGCTTTTATAAAAGGAGAAGGTCTGCTCTAAAATATACTCAGAACTGTAGGTCTGTGTTTGCAAGCTTCACAGTCATTCTAAAGAGAGACCAACTTCAATTTTCTGGTCTTTCAGTTTCAGTACTGTCCAAAAATTGTCTTGATCTAATCGGAGTAATAGGACTATCTATGAAATAGTGTTGTGCAGCTGTGTAATTAAAATATGGCCTCTGATGGTCCGAATTATTTTGCTTTATAGCAGAAGCTTGTATATCTTATAATACTGATCTTTTTTCTTTCCTCAAGCTGTGCTTCTGGAAATGGTAACTCTTGTTAATCTTTTGCTATGAAAATCTGCAGGCTGAACAATATAACAAAGGCAGTTTATTGCTGTGTAACAAACATTCTTCAAATGTTTTATTTAGAGAGGTGCCTTAGTTTTAGACTCTCATTGTAGATTTTGATTAAAAAAATAAAGTGAGCAATAGACTGGAGCAAAGTGCTTCTATAGGTTAAGGTTCATTCCGTTCTGTGTATGGCTTTGCAGCGGCCCCAAGAATGAACTGCTTTAAGAAATTTCTGGGACTCACAGGTAGGCATTTCTCACTGTGTAAGAACTGGGCCACTCACATTCCAAATCTCATGAAGACCTCATACATTTTCTGAGTTTATATTGGTTGAAAAGGAAAGGAGTGCACAGTGTAGGAGACATTCCCACCTTGCTGTCAGCACAGAAAAAAAGAAACCTGCTGAAGGATGATGGTTATTTGTTCTGAATTCATGGAGAGATGTTCTACACATGGCTTTTGCAGAACAATTCCAGCAGAACTTGGTAGGCAGGGACCTATGGTGAAAGGTAGCTGAAAACTAGTATTCATACAGGCAAAAAGCCTGCAACTGGCTTGGCACAATGTAAGATTAAGCTATGAGGGGCCTTTTCTAGTGGTAGTCTCTGATATAATCTTTATAGGTTTGACTGAAGAAAAAATATATGAGGTAATAGTGGGAAGAATTTTTGTATCTGTATAGTCACACTGTTACTTTCTTTTTCTTATGTATTGTGTGTGATCAGATGCTATCCTTATCCAGGTTTTTGATTATGGTTTTGTTTTTAAAAGTAGGCAACACGTAAGTGGAAGTCCTAAGCCCAGCAGGTACTTTGTTCTACTGTGAAGATTGTATAACTTCCTTTGCATTTCCCATGACATCTTTTAAACCTGCCAATTACATCTGAATTATCCCAATCTTTTTCAGGCTCTTTTAAGCTGTGTGTTGTTGCAAATGGAAACAGACATTTACAATCTGATCCTAGCCAAGCCAGTGGTGATACAAGATCTCTTTCTAGCTGCAGAGAACTTTAAGCATGCTGTTGTTATGTGTTCTCTGGAACCCTACTCATCTGTTCTGTTTCATCTCTGACATAAATTTGATAGGAAGGGGGCCATAACAACCATCCCTTATGTTGGTACAGCTTTTAATCGTAATTGGTTGAGCTACAAAAGCTGTGAAAACATAAGTATTAAATCACCTAACCTGCAATTTTGTAAAACTTGTCATTCTAAATTGGTAGAAACGTGTTACAAAACTGTACATCTCTGGTCAGGCTAAATGTCTGATTTATCATTTCTGACGCACACACACACACAAAATAGTATTTTAGGCACAGCCTGAAGGAAAGTTGTTTTGTTTAGGGTTTCAGAGATTCATTGAATCCATACTATCTGTGGCTGTCAGTTTAATCTGACAAGCCTTTTCATAGTAGACATTGAGAAGTTACAGTTTTCTGAACTGGAAATGCACATGTACTTTCATCATATCTGTATTTTACTGCAGATGAATTTTGTTTCTAGTACAGCATTATTTCTGTCTAGAGCTCCATAGCTGCATCTTTTTGTTGGACAGAACAGAAGAATGTAGATAACCGCTTTTCCTCAGTGTCATCTAGCTGCAACAAAACTTACATCTTTAGGGCCTTGTGGACTCCGACACCTTTCAGCTCTGATATCAAGGAGAATTGTGAAGGGTTCCATACGCTCTTTTGGATGGCTTGCTCTGTTTAATATTTATAATTGTAATGATACAACAGTAGCAAAGAGGATATGTATGGAACTGAAACCCAGGACTGTGTAGAAGTGGAATAATAGTTTTGAGAAAACTCAGCTCTCTGATATTTTTCTAATCATAGCCAGCAAGCATGAAGTGTCAGAATGGTGAAGTGAATGAGACTTGGAAAGTTCAAGGAGTTGTTGGGTGCTTGAAGAAAGCTACCTGTTAACTTTGTAACTGAGAATACTTGTTTGCTGGGTACACTTTTTAAAAGACCTATTGGCTTTTGATTCTGTACCATGGCCAAAGAAGCAGTGGCCATGAGGTAAAGTTTAACTAGTGTCTATTGTGTGTTAGTCACTAATTTCCTGAGTCACTTGGATCAGTGTTATTTTTTTTTTTTTACAGATTATATGGCTCATCTAACTCTTTTTCATTATGAGAATTGCTATCCTTTACACTAAGATTCAAGGAAATGCTTCTAGTACTTAATTTTCAAAGCTTCCATAATAGGCTCAGTGGAATTTTCCACTTGTTTACATTCACACTGTAAATCAAACATTCTGGACTCTATTGGTGGATTAATAGCACAATTGCATTTCTACAAATCTCAGTTCTAGATGTGGATCTAGTTCAGAAGTTGCTAGTTCTTAGTGCAGAAGTTACAAGCTTCACAAAACTGACAGATAGTAGACTGAGTTTACAAAGCACTGATATTAGCACACAGAAAGGAGTATGGTAGAATAGCTACATGGTGCATTTGCGAATGATAAGAAATTAATTCTGTTCCCATTCTATTAATGGAAAAGAATAGGATAAGTATGTCCTACTGTTGGTGAAATTGTAAATTATCTTGATCTTAGGATATGCTTTTATAGAAAAAAAGATTAAAGTTCTATTTTAATCTTTCAGATCACTGTAACTTAGTAAGTTGCTGACAAACTTCCTTGATTACGGTTGCAAACTTGTGGAAGAGAAGCAAAATGATTTTTTCTTAGTATGAGCCTATCAGGGTAAAAGGAGAATCTGTTCAGTTGGGACACCAAAAATCTGATCTGAGTAGGTCTGAAGTTCATGTGTGTGGTGAATTTGATATTCCACTCAGCCTCCTTTGTTGCTTTGATTTTGGTGTTCATGTGCACATTTGATGTTAGGAAAAAATAATGGCATTTTCAAACAGGGCTGCAATATAAATTGAGGGAATGAGATCAGTGCTGTTAAGATGCAGTACCTGTAAAATCTCTTGGTTTTACTGTAGAAGATCAACCTACTAGGTGAAATCTTTGGGAAATAAAATGGCAAATGAAAAAACAGATTGTGTCAAAAAAAGAGAAAAAATCTATTGCAGATACCTAAAATACTCATTTTAAGAAACTGCAAAGGTTTAGAAGGTTTTTGTGATTCAGAGATGAAAGTTGAATATATCATTCTGTAGCAGGTTAGGATACTAGTCAATTCAGCCTACATTATTTTTATACTTCTTTCTTCCCTTCATGCTCTCTCCCCTGGCATGTAATGTTTTCTGAAATAATTGTACTTCATTATCACTTACCCTAAACAAATTATATGTAAGTGTGAAAACGAGTGAAGAAGGGTGTTTCAGAATCTAGAGTATTATAACTTCACCAGTTAGTGTAATTTTTTAATTCCTATTTGAGGATCATCTTGCAGGATTGTTTGACTATTTTTTGATGAATTAAAAAAAAAACAACCAAGCAAAAAAACTAACAACAACAACAACAAAACTCAAATCAAGCCCCCAAATGTTTGGTTTTCTAGGTTCCTGATATACAGAGGAAAAAACCCTCAAGGCTTAATGTTTACAATCACAGTGCAAAATCTAGTCAAATATAATAATGCTGTAGGAGATATGACTATTAGTAATGAATTGCTGTCAAAATTGCATGTCTAGTCATAGATTATAAAGATCCCTGTAATGATGAAAGTTTGTTAGTTTTTTGTTGTCTTTGAACAGACTTAAAAATGGTGGATACATCTTTCCATTGCTGCCATTAAAGTGCCAAGACTGCTTCCACATGGTTTTATTTCATCTGTGCTACAAAATAAGCAATGTTTGTTGTTTTTGTTTGTTTGCTTGTTTTTTTTTTTTTTTTTTTTTTGTTCCCAAAGGAGTGATTTTGACTTTTCAGGACGGTGGGACAATCTAACAGTCGAAATGGGGGTGTTTGTTATTTTGGGGGGATGAGGGAGTTGCCTTCTTAATGCCAGTTTTATTCCTGCATTGCAAGAATAGAGAGGGTGACAGGTGGTAGACAATTCAATGATTTTAGGACTGCAGTATCTGGTCTTGGACAAGATAAAAGCAGTGTGAAGCTAGCCTAGAAAAAGGGCTGAGCTAGACTCATCAAGATACAAGTGCCAGATGAGCTGGTTTCCTTTCCAAAAACAGTTCAAGAGAGGGGTAGGACTCATCTTTTTTATGGCAGTTACTATCACATCTTTCTCATAGAATCTTGCTCTGGATCACTAGAATGGGTTTATAATTTTCTCTTTGAATGAACTGATTCAGCATGTATTTCTGCATCCTGATGTTGTCAACAGCTAGGTGGCTCTCCCTTTGTGTTATCTCTTTGCTTTTACTCTTACCAGCCTTTCTTTTGGTTTATCTCATTTACTGGTTTACGAAGCTTTTACTGGCCTTCTGAGTATGATTCTCTAAGGGCTTTTCCATTTTGCTCTGGCCACCTTAATTCTACTGATACTTATCATGATTTGTCAGCATTGATATAGTTCCTTCCAGTAAGTAGTCACAATACTTCTGTTATTTGGTAGATTGCTTTCTTTTCTGTGAGAATGGAAGCAACAGGAAAATATTTGGAAGCTGTAAGTTTTGTATTTCATTCTGAAACTGGTGAAATTCGTGTCCAGATGCATCTGTATTCACACACATATGTGTGAATTGATAAGGTCTAGTTTCTGAAGAAGGGCCCTTTCCTGTAGTTAAGAGCTATGCCTTAATGCAAAAGGTACCACTGGATGAATTAACTGTAGTAAACTGAGATGGTTCAGGAAGAATATTTTCTTTAACAAGTAGGATTTTGAATTTCGGAAGTGACCAATCAGGTCATGACATAAGAATCACTAGATCAGCTCTAAGGTTTATGTAGGTCTCTCTCTGTACTAAAAGCTGACACTTGGGTAAAGTTCACAAAAAGCTGAGCAAGTATCGAGTTTTCTTTCTCTCACAATTCAATTCCAGCTTCTAAAAGACATAGTGGTATGTTATGAAGCTATTTCAGGAAATTGCCTAATATGAATTGCCGCCATGGGTCCTCATCAATCAAGCTTCAGTTCACAACTGAAACAGTGCATACCAGTTAATAGGGATCATCTTTATATTTGGTTACATTTTCATTTAATAATATGGAATGCAGGTCTCTTGCAGTTCTTAGAAATGATTTCTTTTATTTGTTTGCTATTGTAGCAGTTTCTGGCATCAAATGCCAAATAAAGAATCCTGGAGTATTAAAAGTTGTAGAGCAATTTATAAGATGGAGACAGATGCCTAAATAAGTTAAAAAAAGAAATTTAATTAGCAAGATATAGTTCCTTTTCATTCAATTCTGTATTATGGGCTTGAAAAGGCTTAGGAAAAATCATTTATGTTTATAGAATCATAGAATGCTAACAGTTGGAAAGGACCTTAAGATCATCTAGTTCCAGCCCTCCTGCGATAGGCAGGGACACCTCCTACTAGACCATATTGCTCAAGGTCCTGTCCAATCTGGCCTTGAACAAAGGCCTTCCTGCTAAAGAAAAGTATCTCAGAGGTGTAATTTGTCTAAATTTGCATACCTTTTTACTATGGAACAAACTCTGACTTATAAATATGCAGGGATTAAAGACTATGCTGTGGAACACAACTGGCCCAACAGCATGTAGAAGGCATTTTAACTGAGAACGAAGCCAAAACAAGACACTGGGATCAGTAGTTTGATGTAAAGCTGATTGTCCCGTGCTTTGCATTTGTTAGCTCTGGCAGTGTCAGTTGTATTTAAGAGCTTCTTGCTCTTAGCAAGATGGCTTAGCAGAATTTGGAAAAAAAGTTATTGCCTGTGAAATGTTCCTTTCCCCTCCATTTCTGAGAATCGGAGCCTAAAAGACAGAAAATATATTTAACCCCTTTGGCTGATCTTGCCCTTGCTTTCTTTTTTTCCAGGTAATCATTAATGTTGTATTAAAATAGACTACTTCCAGGAACAAGATGTCCAGCTTTCCTCTTTTGTTTCCTAAATCTTTCAAGTACCAGGAACTTAATTTATTGATTGATGTAATGTCTTAATACCCTTTCTTCATAGGCTATTATGTGAAGGATTATGAAAAAGGGAATGTAGAATGATTCACCCCTATTAACTCAAGGAAGTATCAACATTGTAAAAACCTCTGGTCCTTTGGGGCTTAATATTTCCTGGAGTGAAATGTCTTAACTCAAAGACAACAGGGAGGCTTCTCAGGGACCCTGTTGATTTAGCATTCTTTCTACCTACATCTTCCAGGCACTGCAGAGCTAGTTCTTCTTTGAACATTTTGTTAAAAAAAATGACCTGTGGCCTGGGTATCTACATTTGGCTTTCTTATCAAAGTCCCTTTCTGAATAAGAGATCTTCTCCTCTTCAGACCTTGAGGCTCCCACTGAGCAAGAGCAAACAGAAACTATTTTTTCTTACCTATGTTTCCTCTGATCTGCAGCTTTTTTTTTTTGATGAATACAAACATTTTGAACTAAAATTTTTGTGAACTATCTCACTGCATGAACAATTGGAATGAGGATGGGCTGTGGGCTCTGTCCAAGTAGAACAGGACCCTTAAAATATTTTAAACAATATTACTTACCACACAAATCTTCCTACTTCCAAAGTAGTATTACAATGCAAGATTTATTAACAGACTTTAACAAGCACAATGATTTCCTCTTACTCTCTGTGCAATGTATCTTAGCTGCACTGTTGCGTTGAGGCAGCCGTAGAGTACTGAATTGAAAAAAATGAACTGTTTGCAGGGAATTTAGATTAAAAATATAATCCCTAAAGATTGTGTGTGGCAGTTTTGTGAAAGACTACCTGCTGATTACACAGAATGTGCTTATATTAACATAATTACATAATCTTCGAAATCTGCAGCTTTTGTCACAAGGTAAGGCTACAATTCACCATTATTTCTTACCAGAAGCAATCTTTGAGCATGAACTGTTCAGGTATTAGACCTTCGCCAAACTCCTTTGAAAGTCTGTCCTTCCTAGCTGTTGTAATTTGAAGGAAAGCAAAATCATTACTAACTTCGTTACATAATTTTTTCCATTAACTTGGTCTCTAGATCACTGCTTATTAGATATTTAAAATTGTCATGCTGTTTATTGGAATATATCAATGGAAACCTGAAACTGGTCATGTAGTTTGAATTACAATTGATCAGAGGTGTGTTTATAATATCTTTAAAGCTCGTAGGCCTGGTTCAAACAGAAGTTGTTGATTAACATTTAGATAGGAAGACAGTATGGTGCAGTGCTTCAAATTGTAAAAGATGATACAAAAACACCAAACCTCCCTTCCACCCTCTCCCAACTTTTCAGGTGTTGTGGATGAGCACCAATTGTCATGCAGAGAGGGTGGTTATTGACATCTGAATCTTTTTTATTTATTGTAGCTGACTTTGGTCTTGCAAAGCAAAAGCAAGAAAATGGGAAACTTGCATCCGTAGTGGGAACCATTCTGTACTCATGGTAAGTACACCTGCATACAACATCCAGTCCAGTGACATCCATCTTAATGGTTACTTTTTTTGAGCAGGCAGACAAGTTTCAGTCGAGTAAGGAACAAGGTGCAAGTTGCCCACCCACAGCTACTATGCAGTAGTTGGTTGCCTACCTGTTTTTCTGTTGCCTATGGTGGTTACTGTGGGTTAACTTGGTGCAAAAATGAAGTAACTGTGGTTGTGTAGTAACTCATTCATCCATCTTTACACTTAAAGAAATGTGTTTTCAAGTTCTAAAAAGATATATGTAAACAATAGAAATTAATTTTAAAGGCTTTTAATGTAATTGTGGCTTCAATGTTCAGCTACATTTTATGTGTAGACAGTTTACCTTCTGAACTATTTGTTAATGGATTTGTTTTGTATCAGTAGGCGTTTGGTTTTAGTAAATGAACTGAAAAAAATATTTTCTGCAGTTTGAAATTTTCAGTGGTGGAAAAGCACGACACACATTGTTTGAAATTTAAGCTTAGTAAATACATAAATGACTGCTCTAAACCTTTGCCTTAGACAATACATTATTCAGTCTGCTGAATGAGATGCAGTTTCCTTTGGCATCCCTTCTGCAAGCAAGCCAAAGCGAGGAGCCATTTTGTGAAAAATTGCTGTACTGATATAGCTACCTAGGTTCCTAGATTACTACTGCCTTGTGTTTTGTTTTCTCAAGAGCATGGAATACAAAGCATTTCCTATCCAAAGGTTCTCCTCAATATGTAAACAGTTTACACAATTGAGAGTATTATATGCATATCAGGTTCTCTCAAAAGTAATTGTGGTCAGGTCAGAGTATGGATTTTTGTGTTGCATGATGGATAAATAGCAAACATGCCTGTTAATTGAGGTTATGGTATTGTGAACAAAAGGGAGCAAATGTAATCTGGGTAAAAATCCAAATTGTGGCAAGCGCAAGCTCAGTATTCAACTAATAGAAGTTGATGTGTTCTGGCCCTGCCATTTGAGCTGAAAGTTTCTGTTAATTGAAATGCTAACATCAGAAATCAATTAAGGAGTTGCTAATCTGGATCTCTCCATTTGCAAAATTAAAACTTTGCCAACCCTACCCTAACTACTGCTTTATTAAGGAAATATGTTTGCAATATGTTCAGCTGAAGCTTTGCAGATCCAAATATTCCTCGTTCCTGCATGGGTTTGCTCCAGATTCTTTTAACGCCTTTTTATGTACAGCTGCTCTTCTCTCTCTTCAGGGTCACTCTGTTGCTTCTACTCAGTGTTGAGCTTGCTTAAGGTTAGAAGTTGGTTTCCTTCTTTTAGTGACTTTCTGGTTCTCTTGTTCCCACTACTATAAATTGCCACTTCTAGCTCCTGTAAATAAAGTGAAATTTATTTGGCATAGGGAATAGAAAAAGAAAACTACAATGAATGACAATGAATAAACAAACCAAGAATGTTGCACAGCATGGAGTGTATAATTTTGTTTCCTGTTTTCATCAGAATTTTTAATTTACAAAATACACACTAATAAGCAGAAAAACCTGTTAGAATGTTATATCCTAAGTAAAAACTGGAAATGCTTTCATCCTAAATTTCTTATAAGACCACTGTACTGGCTGAGGCACTGACAGTATGTTTCTCAGCAGTTTACAGGCATTTTTGATGTCAGTCTTCTTCAATCTCCTTTTCTGCTGTGGTGACCACATGCGACGGCCACATACCTTCAAGATTGCTTGGCCTATGTGGCTGTAATAAGTAGTTAAAAGTTCCAGCCTACTGGGGGAGCTACTGATGGCTCCTCTGAATTCAAAGAGAGAGTCAAGAACTCAGGTATTCTGCAGTCGAATGTAATTCATGTTGCCACTTTTGAGATTGCTACTTGTAATTTCCTAGTGACAGAATGATAATGTCTGACAATCCCTAGAAATCATGAAATCATAAAATGGCTTCAAGAGTGAGTCCTTGTAATGTATATTACACCTTGAAGACTAATGCTTATGCTGCTTTTTAGTGAGAAAAAGTAAATTGCTTGGGAGGCTGCCTCAACTAGGATGCTGCAGTCAAAATACTCCTGAAGCATAGCACAGTGATATGTTTGAAGCATAGCAAGTGTGTATCAGCAGATTGCACTGCTGATCACTGTGCTATCAGCAGAGTGATAGTTTGGGTGGTTAAGTGTAGCAAAAGTTTGGTGTAGCTAGTTATGTGCTATGGTTTTCAGCTCCTCTGAAATAATTGATTTGTTTTGTTTAGTCACATTTGGGCAGAGAAGCTGTTGACAAGAAGTTATTGTGCTCCTTTGAACAACAGTTATGGGTGAACTGTCTGCGAATTAGATTAGTCTTTAGAAGTGTCAATTTCCAAACCTGCCACTGATGTCTGTGGGTCTTCTCACATTTTGTAGGAAATTTTTATTAGATAGTAATGTTCTGTAGATTGAAATACTCTTTTAATTATTATTGTCTTGGTTTTATCTTTGTTCATACCACATTTATTATCATTTATACCCTGTGTTTGTGTATTGAAGTTCATATCAGACCTAAGACTTGGCACTTCTTTTTCTACCTCTTTGTCCAATTATTTGGATGTAAGCATGAGGAGAAAATACTACTTGCATGTTTTAGTCTCTCAGTAAGTGGCCTTTTGGGACACTACTTGTCAGTTCTGTTCCACAAGCAAAATCATGGAAGCAGTGATCCTTGCCTGTCTGCAGTCAGAAAAGAGAACAAGAGTACTTTACTGATGTTTTTGTTTTTAAAATGTATGCTTGAGTAATATCTAAAATGACAGGCTAAAGCATTAAAGTTTCCACAGTCATAATAATTTAAGAATGTTAAAAAGGCTTTGCAAGCTGCTGAATGCACTGGATGCTATCCTTCAGGGTACTTGGCTAGTACTGTGTGTGACAGTGGGCTTTTTGATATAGAAACCTGCTCAAGGAGTGAGGTGAACTGATTGAGAATTTTAACACAAGTCATGAAACATATAGACAAGTCAGAGGCTATACACTTAATCAGTGCTTGTACTGATTGATTTAAGTGACTGGATGATTTAAGTGGATGTGAAGGGCTATAAAATAATCAAAATATTGGTAATGCATGTCTACCAAGAGCAGCAATATTCCTGCATTAAAAAAAAGGGGAAGAGAAAGAGCCTTGTCATTTTAGAGTGGCAAGAAATAGCTTTCTTCTGAATAGACAGGTCAACAGTTCCGGGTAGTCTGAGAAGGAACCCACCCTTCCTGGAGCAGACAATATAGTCTATACATATCACTGTATGTATCAAACATGTTTGTATTTGGGGTTGAATGAATAAATTTGCTAATGCAATTTTTTTAAAACTGTGCCACCATAAAATACTATCAGACACTGTTTTGTGTTTAGAAAGGGGCTTATATGAGTATGCTTTGTAATTGTGATAGTTTTTAATTCTACTTCATACTCGATTTCATCCTACTATCATACTAATTAAATTCTTTTCAATCGGTTATGTTGTTGAATTAAAAAAAACAGCAATGTGTATGTTTAGAATATCAAATGTATTAAATGGATGCGTTTACACTTAATACATTAAAAATTGAAGAAAAGACTGCTTTAGGGAATTGGTAATGAATTCTGAAGTCTTTTTGTAGCTAATAAGTCACCAGAAACAATCTGCTCTGAGTCAGTGGTGGCAGTATTTATTATCCTGCTGTCTCAAAGGCCTTCTCAGAAGAAACACTGCAAATTGTACATGGTTATAGAGAATTATGTTTCCTTTCACATATATCTGTCATTTATTTGTTTCACAAAAGGGATTATAACTTATGAAGGGGACATTCTGTCTACAGATCAAGAGATTGTTCAGCCTGGAGAAGAGAGACTCTGGGGAGATCTTACTGCAGCCTTTCTGTTCCTAAAAGGGGCTTATAAGTAAGTCAGGGAGAGATTTTTTATCAGGACCTGTTATGACAGGATGAGGGATGATGGTTTTAATATAAAACAGGGCAGATTCAGGCTGGATGGGAAGAGAACATTCTTTACAATGAGGGTGGTAAAATACTGGCACAGGTTGCCCAGAGTGGTGGTGGATGCGCCATCCCTGGTGACATTTAAGGCCAGGCTGGATGTGGTTCTGGGCAACCTGATCTAGTTGATTGTCGTGGTTTAAACCCAGTCAGGTAACTCGTTTATTCACTCCCCCCCCTTCTTTCCCTCCCCCTACTCCAGGAGGGATGGAGAGGAGAATCGAAAAGAATGCAACTTCCACGGGTTGAGATAAGAACAGTTTAGTAACTAAGGTATAACACAAATCACTACTGCTACCACCAATAATAACAATGATAAAGGAAATAACAAGGGAAGAGAATACAACACCTCACCACCAGCCGACCGATAACTTGCCCCCCCAGCCCGACCAAGCATCCCATGCCTCCTCCAACCCTGCAGTCTCCCAGCCCTTCCGGCTAACTCCCTGTTACCTCCTGGGCATGACATGCTGTGGTATGGAATACCCCTTAGGCTAGCTTGGGTCAGGTGTCCTGTCTCTGCTTCCTCCCGGCTTCCCCTCCTCCCTGGCAGAGCATGAGGCTCACAAAGTCCTTGGCCAAACCAAAACATCATTGTTATCAGCTCTGTTCCCAAGCCGAAAATCAAAACACTGCACTGCACCAGCTACCAAGAAAGTGAAAAAATGACTGTTACTGCTGAACCCAGGACATTATCCACCCCTTATTCCATACCATTCACGTCATGCTCAGATCCCACATTTTCAATATACTCTTATCTACGTGCATGGACCAGTCCCTATAAAGCTGCTGAGTCCATCTGGTCCATGATGTCAGGCTCCATCTCTTGTAACAGTCTTCCAGAGCAGGAGAGACTGTGTGCAGTGTTCACACTCGTGAATAACCTGGGCAATAGTGTCCATTGCTAAGTCCACCCCTCGATCATGAGTCCATCTCTGTGTTGCATCTCTGCTCTGATGGCCTGAAGTGCCATGGGCCCACCAGGCTCAAAATAATTCACTGTCCCCTTC